GGTCTGCAAGATATCACCGCCAGTCCACTAAGGAATGTAGCTCGTGGGCGAGTGGAGGATGACCGCGAGCTCCACGACAGTTACTACGCAATACATCCAACGATCGTGGACCAATGCCTTCAAGTAATGTTGATTGCCAGTGACAAAGGCGTCTCGCACTATCCTGACAAGGCAGGCATGCCGTTGTACATCGACCGGGTTTACCTGGCCCCAGGAAGCAGCTCGATGCTAGTCGAGGCGACGACGACTGATCCAACAAAAGAGAGCCTGAGTGGATATTTCAAGGTGATATCTGAGGCAACTAGTGACGTGGTCTTGGAGATGAAGGGCCTGCGCTTATTGCCTACACCAGAAGCTGTATTGGAATCGAAAGGATCAAAGCTTGCAACTCATCTCCAGTGGAAACCGGACATTAGGTTTATGCCGGCGACCCAACAAGTACCAACACCTGTGGTCCTAGATCAACAGAAAACCCAGACATTGGCTATAGCGGGGATCCTTCTCATATTTGCAATGATGGAGGCTCTGGAGCCTCATGACGAGCTACCTCCGTACGTGGCGAGCTATAGAAAACTCAGTATCGGCATAGGCAGGACGATACTCCAAGGGGAGTATGACCATATCCCTGGTATTAAAACGGTGAAAAGCATGGACAGGGAACAGCGGACTGTTTTGTTCAGATCCTTGCAAGGACAGTTCCCCGAACATAGGGTTGAACGATGCTTTAATGATGCCTGGCGGTATGCGAGTGAGCATCCGGAAAAATTGATAAATGGGGGGGTCTTTGAGGATACCTCCCTCATAGAGACCATCAAGGGCATTGTCGAGTGGAGCCTTGAACTATACAACTGGAAAGGTTTCCTGGGTCCACTAGCTCATGCGAATACTGGTCTACGTGTCCTTGAAGTTGGAGCCGGGGCAGGTTCAGCAACAGTGAAAATCTTGGAAGCATTGACCACCGAACACGGTGATCGTCTGTTTAGTCAATACACAGTCACCGACACTGTACCTGCGCTTGTGAAACAACTGGAAGAGCGTTTTGAAGGCGTGCCAAAGCTGGAGTTTAAAAGACTGGATATTACGAAGAGTGCAACAGATCAGGACTTCACAGAGGAGAGTTACGATTTAGTGGTTGTATGCAATGTCCTATATGAAACACCTATCCTCGGTCAGTCATTGGCGCACATCCGATCCTTACTTGCGCCTGGAGGGCGATTGCTCCTATACGAGCCTTGCTCAGAGCTTCCACATTTAGATATTGTCATGGGACTTCTTCCGAATTGGTGGTTAGGCGTGGGCGACAATCAGGTTGATAAGCCTCACGTTTCCGTGGAGCGTTGGGAGCAGGAGTTAGACCAGGCAGGATTTTCTGGCCTCGATGGGTTCCATTACAATGCATCTGCACCATTTTACTGGCAGGTCTTGATGCTATCAACAAATCCAGCGGTCAATACCCCGCGAGAATCCATGAACCTACTCTGCACTGCAGAGACAAGATACCAGGCATGGATACAGAGCCTGGCGGGCTGCCTATCCTCCGACGGCTATGATGTACATTGGTGTACCTTTGAAGAAGATCTCCCGACCGAAAACGTCATTGCAGTACTCGACTTTGACAGACCATTCTTATATGACATATCCCAAGCTACTTACACTAAGATCCAGAGCTGGTTGGCCTCGGTGAAACGTCTCCTCTGGGTGACGCATTCAATTCAGATTGAATGCAAGGATCCCCGATACTGTCTGATCCTGGGGCTCACTCGCACATTGCGGTGTGAACTGAATGTCGACGTTGGCACTTGTGAGATTGACTTGTTTGACGAGGCTGCTCATCCGGTGGTAGTGCAAGCGTACAGACAGCTCGGTACACCGATCGGAGGACAGACGATTCGCGATTTCGAATTCATTCTGCATCGGGGTGTAGGCCACACTGGCCGTGCAGCCATCACAAAGGTTACAAATCATCTCCATTCCACAGACCAGCAAAGGTCTTATCAATTAGACATTCAAACTATCGGTGACTTCAGCTCACTTGGGTGGAGACCCATTTCTCCGGAGGAAGTCGGTCCACACGACGTCGAAGTCAAGGCCAGCTATTTGGCGCTCAATTTCAAAGATCTGATGATGGCTTTGGGCATCGTGGAGCGAACGAAGACAATGGATTTTTGTTTTGAGGGGAGTGGTATTGTCACTCGCGTGGGATCGGAGGTGACAACAATGCAAGTCGGTGATTCAGTGGCCTTTTTTCATCCCCAGCCGATGAGAAGCCTTGCAGTCTTGCCAGCTGATGGGGTGATCCACCCTCCCAAGGGTGCCTCGCTAGCAGAAGCCGCAGCTATTCCCAGTGCTTATACAACCGCTATATGCACACTGTTAGGTACTGGGAAATTGCAGAAGGGTCAGTCCGTTCTGGTTCATTCCGCGTGTGGTGCAGTCGGACTGGCAGCAGTGCATATCTGCCAGAGCGTCGGTGCCGAGGTATGTAAAACCATCCAGCCCCGATAATCAGTGCTTTTATAACCAGAGAACCAGGTATTTGCCTCAGTTGGTAGCGATGAAAAGGTCGAGTATTTGATGAAGACGTTCGGAATTCCACGCTCGCACATTTTCGATTCACATAGTGCTTCATTCCTCTCCGGCGTCATGAGGGAGACTAATGGAAGAGGCGTCGATCTGGTGCTCAATTCACTAGCGGGAGAGCTTCTCCGGGCGTCATGGAAATGCGTCGCACCTTTTGGAAAACTGCTGGAGATCGGAAAAAGAGACATACTGGGTCATGGCATGCTTGATCTGAATGGGTTTCGGGAATGTCGGTCATTCTGCGGCTTTGACTTGTATAGTATAGCCTATGATAAATTCGACATAGGGAGGTGGTATGTCATGCGTGTCCCACTATTGTGACGCCTTCCATAGATTAACAAGTCATTAACAGGGCCTTTGAAACGGCTAGCGAAATCATAAGTGAAACAACATACCGGCCTCCGCTAACAATATTCCAAGTGAACCAGGTTGGAGATGCCATGCGACAGATGCAAAAGGGGCAGCACATTGGGAAGATCCTTATTGACATGACTGACAATGAGAGCCAATTGCCAGTGCTCCCCGCACAGGCCGGATTTAGCTTTTCCTCTACCTCTACGTATATGCTTGTTGGAGGCTTGAGAGGCATTGGCCGGGCTGTGGTTCGGTGGATGGTGGAACATGAAGCTCGCAACTTCACCTTCCTTTCTCGGTCAGCTGGAGATCATGAAGAAGATCAACAATTTGCTAAAGAACTGGAGAGTCAGGGATGTCGCGTGGTGATGGTGGCTGGAAGTGTCACAGATTCAGACACCGTTCAGCGCACAATCCAACAGGCGGAACGCCCAGTTGCTGGTGTTATTCAGATGTCAGCTATATTGAAGGCAAGTATTATTAAATCTGACGCGGTATCGTGAGGTTGCGGATTGCTAACACGGTATCCAGGACCAACTATTCGACAAGATGTCATACGAGGAGTGGACCACGAGCCTGGCAACTAAAGTCCAAGGAACTTGGAACCTTCACAATGCTCTGCAGGACCACTCAGTTGATTTTTTCATCGTCTTTAGCTCCGCAGTAAGCATGATTGGAAACCCAGGACAGGCTAATTACGCCGCCGCAAATTCGTTCTTGGACGGATTTGTACAGTATCGGCGAGGGCTAGGCTTACCCGCATCATTGGTCAGCCTAGGACCTGTCGACGAGATGGGTCTTATGTCACAGCAGCCGGAACTTTTGTCTAAAGCACGCCAAGTCTCCCACCAAATGATGGGAGAGGGAGATGTGCTAAAGGCGTTCCAGCTGGCTCTGCTCTCGGCAAAAGATGGACTGTCTTCGAGACGCCCAGCAGTAGTGGTCGCAGGGCTCTCCCCGGCCGTTGTGACTAGCGATCCATGGCTCCAACAGGATGCACGATTTTCCAGCCTTCCGAAAGGAACAGACATGTCGAACGCCGGGGGTGTCGACGACGAGCAATTACAGCGGAAAGTCGCGTCAGTCAGAGACAACCCGACATCCCTAATCGACGGCTCGTGCGAGGCTCTGATAATCGAGAAGCTTGGGAAGCAGATCGCCATGCATAACGGACTATCCGAGGAAATGGGTGTAGACCAGTATAGTAGCCTTGAGGTAGATTCATTGATGAGCCTCCAGATCAAACACTGGCTGGGCCGTAAAGTGGAGGTGGAGGTTTCGCTTGGGGACATTATAAAAGCGAGAACGGTTGGGAACATCGCAAAGTTAGTCACAGAGTATCTCCGTCTGAGATATGGGGTGAAGAATGAAGGTGCCGCGGTTTAGTCGCGAAGGAAGGTCAAGAAACCCGGTGGGAAGATGAAGTATGTATGTGAGGTTTGAACAGGCAATAGGAATCACCATTTTCTTTTTGCTTTTTTCTTTTTCAGTCAGAGCATTGACAATCAGTAAATGTTCCGGGACCATAAGATCGGTCTCTAATCAGATTCGTGAATAATTACAAGCGTTCATTCATCAGACGAAACATCAGAAGAGGATTCCTCTGAATCTTTCGCAACCATCAACTCCATCCTTTCAAACACCCTGATGACATTCTTCTTCTTCGCCTTTACAGCCAAGTCCCGTGCCGTTCGACCACGATCATCTGGTAGATCCCCGGCTGCCCCGTGACCCAAAAGGAAGTAGACATCCTCCGCTAGCCCTGCCTCTGCTGCCATATGAAGAGCAGTCTGACCGAACATGTCTCTCGCATGAACATCCGCTCCCCGATTGACCAATAACCTCATAACATTGTTCTCCGACCCCACGGCCTTATGGAGTGGTGTCCGTTGATAATCATCGCGCATGCTGACGTCCGCTCCATTATGCAGCATATACTCAACCATCTTTCGACGACCCCGTTGCACTGCTTTATGCAGCGGAGTTTCACCCGAGAAGTTAGTAATATTGATGTCGGGAGATTTCTCCAGAAATAGCTCAAAGAGACCCCTGCGACCACTGGCTGCCGCAAAGTGTAGTGGTGTATCCCCGTTACCATCCTGTGCTTCGGCATCGGCGCCAGCATCCAGGAGCATGTCCATAATGATATCGTGCTGATGTAGTACGGCGCGATGCAGAGCCGTCATGCCGTCCTTCGCGGTGGCTTCCAACATTATTCCATGCTCTAGTGCGAGCTCAGCCAGCTCGACATCGCCGGCTGCTGCTGCAAGATCCAGAATCGTCTTCCCGGAGGCGTCTTGTGAGTTAATGTCCGCGCCTCTATCGAGCAGCAATTCGAGCATCCGTCTGCCCCTTTTCGTTCGGTCAAAGAGCACCAATGAGATCAGTAACGACAGACCTGGTTCTCCAGCCGGAGCATTAATATTCGCCCCCTTCTTTATCAAATACTTGACGACATCGAAGTGGCCCCGACGGCCAGCCTGGTACAAAGGCGTGCCACATTGCTCGTACTTTCCTCCCGAGGAAGGCTCTATTCCCATATCTGCTCCATACCGAACTAGCAGCCGGACGATATTCAATTGCCCAGACATTGCAGCCCACCACAGCGCAGAACGACCACCGTCATCAACTGCATTGAGGTCTACTCTTCGAGACGCAATTAACAACCGTACTACCTCCTCGGATCCCTTTTCGATTGCCCAAAACAATGGAGGCCTCCCATCCCCGTCCTTCACATCAGGGTCAGCATTAGCCCTAAGCAGCATCTGCATGATGACCTCGTCTCCCGCTTCCACTGCGCATGACAATGGTGCTCTTCCTTCTGGATTCTTCACGTCGGGGTCTGCTTTTGCCTTCAGCAGCATCTGCACAATTATTTCGTTACCCTCTTCGACGGCGCATGACAACGGTGCTTGTCCTTCTGGATTCTTCTCATTGGGGTCGACTCCTGCTTTCAGCAGCAATTGCACCATGGTTTCATTTCCTGCTTCGACAGCACACGATAGTGGCGCTTTGCCTTCTGAGCTTTTAAGATTAGGATCCGCTTTCGCTTCCAGCAGCAATTGCACGATGACTTCATTATCAGCCTGCACCGCCGACAACAACGGCGGACACCCATTCGAAGCCACAGCATTGGGATCAGCCCCGGCCTTCAATAGCATTTCCGCAATATCAGAATTGCCTTTCCCTACCGCAGTCGACAACGGGATCATGCCGCCTTCATCTTTCACATTGGGATCTGCCCCCGCTTGCAGCAGTATATTCAGGATTGATGCACTCTCTCGTTCGACCGCATATGCCAATGGTGTCTTCCCTTGAGAGTCCGCAGCATGGCAGTCCACCCCGACACCAAGCAATCGAGCCACAACGCTCTCGTGGCCGCCCTCCGCAGCTGCACATATTGCTGACTGGCCACGCTTAGCGTCCTTTATGTTCGGGTCCACAGCGCCAGTGCCCAGGAGCAATTGGAGGACCTTGTCGTGGCCCTCGGCGGCGGCCCAGAAGAATGGCGTCCGACCTAGTTCATCCTTGCAGTCCAAAGTCACGCCAGGGGTACCTAAGAGCAGCGTGACAATGGTATCATACCCTTTGCTAGCGGCAAGGAATAAGGCAACCTCTAGTTTGTCTTTGGGGCCAGGTGGGGACTCGGATTCGGCCATGATAGCGCGCACAATTGCAGGAGTCGAAATGAGTAAATGGAAAAGGGAGATTAAGTCGGGATGGTTATTGTTAACAGCAGAAAAATTCCTAAATCTTCACGACCTTATGACATTCTTCATTACAGATGTGGCCCAGCGACAAACAAGCCTTTTTACCTGCCCACAGCACTGTGTACTGATCGACGAGAGAAAAATACACGAAGAAATGTGCGAATAGGGCGAACAGCCAGACAGACAATCAGGCAGAACAATCAATGTGCCTTACCGCCGATTTAATAGTCTAGCATTTATCGAGGGGCAAAAGAAAAGGCGAACGAAACCCACTTACTTCACTCCAATCGTTCGCCCACTTAAACCATGTATGTATCCACTCAGGTACCCGACCAAGCGTACGTATGTACTGGGGTACACAGTGTGCACACTGTGCAAAGAAGTCCGACAAGGAAGCAAAAGAGAGCAGCAACATAACAGATACGAGAAAAATAAAACTCGTGGGCTATCCGACAATTATCAACAAAGGCATTACACTTCTTTCTTCCAGATTCCCTCCCCATCTCTCTCTCCCACCCCAAAAAGCAACCTCACGGCGTAGCACAAACCACATATGCCACGTGTATACCATCCACTGGGTCTCCGATTCGAAAATTGGCCACCACCTAACAGCGACATTCCCTGCTCTTACTCACAGACCGGGGTTGTGTGGAAATTGCATTTGCTCATCATACTATTATTCTTATTATTATCATTATGGCTGACTGGCTGGCTAGGATCGGGGGTTGAAGGGAAGGGAAGGGAAGGGAAGAGAAGGGAAGAGAAGGGAGGGGGTTGGGATGTGGGTATTGGATTGGAGTTGGTACTTTTTAGGTTCCTTCCCGCACTCCAGCTGCTTGATTTGCTGGGGAGGGTCCAAAGTTGGGCTGGGTTGGGTTGGGTTGCCGGTTACTCCGCGTGGCGTTGCATAGAAGAAACTAGACTAGCTCGGTCATCATTATTCGGGAAGGAGGTTTCGTGTTTGTTGTGTTACGTGCTATGGTATTGATTTTATGAGGAAATTGGTTTGGTCTCAGCTTTATGTGGGGTGTGTAGTATAATAATCCTAGTGCCACTGTTGTTTCCTGACTTAATACGATATGTCAATTGTAACTTCTCCACTCCGGATGACGAACCTGACGGGAACAATATTTTCAGCATTGGGACTGTGGTGGATACATCGGAAAGGAGATCGTCGACGGCTTCTCGTTTGTGCGATTTCGAATGCAAAGCAATATTATCTACGAGAACCAAGATGATGCTGCTATTCCTGGTATTGAGCAATTCGTTGGATAGTACAAACTTGCGGCAGTCAAAAGGAATTAATGAGGCAAATAAAACGGAATTGAAGGGATCATTATTATATACGATCATATGCATACAACGCAACGCCCATGCTATGCAACTTTCATCATTGAACCAATCCGCAAACGCCGCGCCCGCGCTGTGGCCAAGATCATATATAAGAAAATGCTATCAGAAGGGACCTGCTTTGTGGTTGCAGCCAAATTGGTAATAGCGAGCAATGGAATGTCAAGAGAAGAATTCCGGTCCTTCACCAGAATCTTCAGGCTTGCTGATGAGCTCCGGTGTAGACGCCCTCAAAGTCCAAGCCGTCCAGCATTCCGTTGACTCGATCAATCTCTCGGGTGAGATCTTCGATGTTCATAGCAAGACTGCTAACCTCATCGAATTTGCGGCGTCTGTTTGCATCCGCAATCATTTCTGATACGAAGAACTTCTGCTCTTCTAGTACGATCAGCCGCTCCCGAAGGGATTTCTCTTCGGCCTCCAGTGCGGAAACTGCGCTGCTGGTGTCACTAGCGAGACTGGCATTGCTGCCGCTAGCAGCAAGGTTGCCGTATTTTATTGACGCAAGAGCGGATCCCTGCCGTCGAGGGCCACCAAGTGAACCGTTGCTGGGGCTAGGGCTAGCGGGGGAGCTTGTGGAGTTAGACAGTCCCCCGTTGGGAGATGTATGCTTGAGCACTCTGGGTAAGGATTTAAGAGGGAGCATGTGAAGGTGAAGGAAATTGCTGGCTTGTTGGTATATAGCCTTCTGTAGTCGCTGTTGGGTTGGGGAGTCCGTTTGCATATCACGGACCCGGCGAGCAGCAACGTCGTATTGCGCAAACGAATCCGTTAATCGTTTACGGACCTTTGAAGCCTCTGCAATCTGCGCAGAGGATGGAGGCCGCCTAGGATCTCTGTGAGAGTGATTGGTTGTCAGTGATCGCTGGATCCTATTGTGCGCTCATGAGCCAAGTATTACATACTGCAAGGCCCCTAGTATCTTTTGAAACTTAGGGAGCAAAATCCGAATGCCTCTCTCGAACTGAGTGAGATTTTCATATGCTCGCACAGCTGGCGGCTTCCTCATAATGTCGGCTTCGAAGTCTCGCCGGTCGAATAAGGTCGATCGGCACTCCTTACAGAGTCTGATATCGACGTTGATCACGCCCGTGCGGGGTGACTTCTCTGCTGGTGTTTTTGCAACTATGTCCGGTTAATAACCGAATAATCAAGGTAGTTTCGCAGAGCTGACATACGAGGTGAAATGCTCAAAGGGACCTCCGTGGAACATGCAGTTGCTGGATCACCACATACGACTCGCCCGCAAGTCCTGCAGTGGTGTCTTCGGAAGGTGTAGCTGGTAAAGTCTTGCTGGCAAAACGGACACCGAGACACACTTGCGTCATCCTGCCAACTCACTATGGTTTGCTCAAGGGCTTTTCGTTGATCACCCTGCCATGAGATTGACCACAATTTATTCGTGCTCGACTGAATCTGCTCTGCAGGCAAACTTGCAAGCAGCTGCGTCAGTCGAGTCAAGCGTTTCTCCAAACGAGAAACTTCCAGCAAGTCCTTGTCGACTGTCTGCTTCCTCATCGCTTTGAACTCACTCATGCGGTCTCTCACCAGCCCTGGAACAGAGTTAATCTCGTGCCCATTGTGGTTATCCAAATAGAAAAGAGGCCCTACCATTGTGATCGTTATAGCCCTCCCTCGACTTGTAGCAAGTCTCACAGACCCTGCACCATAGTCCCCTGACTGGTTCATGTTGGGCCGACCTGGATAGCTTCATCTGATACATAGTATGATCCTCACAAAACAGTTTTCCGCATTTGCGACAATTGACACAACCATTTGTAGCATTGAGTCGCTTTCCACACGACGGTTCCAAGCACACATCGTAAAGGGTGCGACCTTGCCAGTGATCCCTCGTTATAACGTCGTCCGGGTCGAGTGCTCTCGGGGGTTCAGGCGGATGCGCCGGGAGAGGTCCAGGGGGCCGACTTGGACCCGCAAAAGGATGTATATTCTCATTTGATTCGAACACGTCCAAGCCTTTGAGCTTTTGGTTTAAGACTGCGAGTGGTTGAAATCGCTTGGCTTTATCCATCTGCGTCTTGAACCAGTCCTTGACTTCATCTTGCCGATCGTCTTCCAGATTCTGGTGGACGTCATCGAGGTGTCTGGAAAATCGTGTTAATCGCATGTATAAACGGAAACAAATATTGCGAGCGTCAATCGAGGTACCTATTCAATTGCAGCAGTGTCACCTGTTGCTTCTGTCAGTATATCTGGTGGTGATAGGAACGGGAATCCCGATAAGAGACTTGTGTAGGACAGGTCATACCATCTCCTCACTGCAGATCGGACAGGCTAACTGAGCTCCGGCAGCTGCCGGAGCAGCAGGAATGGAGGCAGAACCATTTTCGAGGGAAATGCGCGACGTGAGATCCTGAGCTTCGGAGGAAACCTGGGATGCGGAGGCTTGTGAATTCAGGGAAACGCTGCTGGCGGACGGTGATAAGGTGAGGTGTCTTGGATTGCTGGGCTGCGGAGACGGGATTAATGCCGATGGAGAACGAGCGTTCGCGGGGCCAAGAACACGACCTCCACCCAGCGTCCTCCGGGGCATGATGACTGGAATTTAAGAGAGCATGAGAATCGGAATCCCACAAGGGGTCACAGACCGTAGGATCGGGGGGACTGGCGGATGAAAGGGGAGTCTGTGACTTCAGCCTTGCCCGGGGGTGGAGCTTAAGAGGGGGGAAAGACAAGAAGGGAAGGGAGCCGAGAGTGCCAGACAAGCACCAGCCCAGCGTCAGGAGTTAATCCGCAGCTTATCGCCCGCCCGCCGACAGATTGTAGACCTGAGGCACCAACACCGGCCATCATGATTATCCCCACGGTTCCGTCTGCGCATGTCTGGATCGCTCACTAGTCGCGGCTGATTGATTACTTTAACTGCCATCCTGCATGTACGAGAATTGTCTTTGACATTGACACCCTCTATCTTTATAAAAGATAACCTAAACTTACAGCTTGCTCTCTATGAACATCCTTCAATATTAGCAAGGTCTCACACGCCTTGCTTTCAACCAACAGCACCTATATATCTAGACAAGAAATGCAACTACTCTAACCAGCCATGGTCTATATCTCTTGCCTTTAATGGGCCTACTGCTGCCCAGCCTCCTTCTGCTTACGCTCCGCCTCCCGCTTCAGTTGGTCAGGCCGGCGTACAGCGATATCCTTCGGCCGGAAATCGCTGAACAGCGTCTTGAGCACATTCTCAATAAGCCAGCATCCCGCGTAATCGATGATCATCAGAACAGTCAGTGTCAGTTTAAACTCCGTGCTGAACGGGACCAAGCGGAGCTTCTCGTTCAGTTCAGGCACGAATTCGGTTGCACAAGAAAAGGCGACCCCAGATGCCGCAACCAGACCCCAGTACATAGCCTTGTTCTCGCGAATGGACTCTCTGAAGGGGCGGCCTTGGTAGTTGATCGAGAAAGTCGAAATCTGCTGGATAAGCTGCAAAAGATAGATGGCGCTGTTGAGGAGCGACGGCTCAAACTCTCCCTCCAAATCAACGTCGGATTGTCTCCTGCGACCGAGTCAGTTATAAACACTACAGGACCTATACCAAAGCAGATGGAAACTCACGGCTCGATGCTGTATACATAGTTCGACAGGTAGATCAAGGTGGCGATGTGAATGGCGAACTGGCCGAGCACGGAGCCGATGATGTACACGTTGAAGATGTTTGGCTGAGGGCGCTCCTTCGACAGACCTTCAACAGACTGCAGTAGATAATTAGTGTCAGACATCTCTAATGTGATTCTTGATAGCCTACCTTTGCACGAGAGATTGACAGGAAACAGACACTCATCAGCATACCGCTGATAGTCACCTGGCCGTCACCAAACTTGATACCGTCCAAGTAGATAACACTCAGACTGTAGGCACTGATCAAACAGTTCAAGGCAAGGATCTTGTACATCTGAATCGTTGCGACCAGTGTGCAGCGACCCTGACGCAGAATGTTGGGAATAGCAACGACATTTGCCAATTTGCTGGTAAAGGGTGCAGCGACAGAGGCATCACCGAGTTTGAGGGTCGGGGGTTCGTTCTCGTCCAGCTCCTGCTCCATCATGGAAGTAGTAAGCTTATCGGCAAACCCGGCAGCTGCCACAGAGGCTTGTTGCTGGCGCTGCTGATGAGGAGTCAAGTTGGAATTCGATTGCTGCAGAGCACGTGCACCAGGAGACGTGATGGTGGGAATCGCCTCTGCTTGGGCCGGCGCGGACTGGACGGTGGTACCCTTACGCTGCGCTTCGCGTTCCATGGCCTTCTGATAGTGCGGGTTGCTAGGACCTGGGGGGTAAAGGTGTGCAATTTGCACAGGCACGGGCGGAGCCGGTTGGTTGAAGCGCTGCATCATGGAAACCTGCTTCTCGTAGATTTCCTTCATTTTCGTTGTCCGATAGTGCTCAGCAATCTTTGTGAGATCCTCAGGGGAGCCATTCAGGAGTGCAACACCGACATGGGCTTGCTTCAGGGCACCGACATCGTTCGTTCCATCACCGCACATCAGAGTCGTATAACCAGCATCCTTGAGACCAAGAAGAATGTCCTCCTTCTGTTTGGGGGAAACGCGAGCATAGACCCAAGTGTGACGAAGGAGGTCAGGAAGTGCCTTCTGGCCCTTGAACTTGGCCAAAGCGTAGCCCGTGACACAGATATCGTTGGTTTCCAAAATACGGCGATCGAGATCCTGGGTGGGATCAACATCAATATTGAGCTTGTCGTCGATACTGCGCCAGACCAGTCTGGTCCCTGACGTGTCGTGTTCGGGAGCGTCAAGGATCAATACATCACGATCCACAATTTCAACTTGGCGAGCAACGTGCACGGCAGTCAGAGGATTGTCACCAGTGATCATGACGACACGGTGGCTGCTTTCGTTGAGCATACGAACGGCTTTGATGGCGTCATCCTTCAGGGGACACTGCAAGACGAGGAAACCGGCGAAGATCAGGTCAGATTCCACCTCTTCCCTGGTGTAGTTGTTGATACGAGCGCGAGTAAGTTCAGCTTCATGAGAGAGATACTTGTAAGCGAGGGCAAGGACACGAGCGCCGTTACGAGTGAAGTACTTGAAAGTTTCCTCGTAGTTCGGCGGGGTGTCGATAAGCATAGACCTAATGGTTTCGGGGGCACCCTTGACGCCGACAAAGGTTGATTTGACCTTCTTGTGCGTGCTGCGGTCATCGGAGACAATCGTGGCGATGGTACTCTGACGCTTCAGTGCGGAAGAGAATTGGAATCGTCTGATAACCTGGACGGACTCGGGAACCCGAGAAGCTGTGGCCGAGACCTTGCCGGTCAGGGTGTCATTCTTTCCTAGTGTCCAGCCAAGCCATTTCAGCGTGGCCTTTTCCATAGGGTCACCAACAACCTCGCCCTCATCAAGCTTCACTAGTGCGTGAGCGCTTGCAAGAACCAGAGACGTATCGAGTCCGACATCGCTGCTCTTGGCGAGTTCAGTGTGGGCACCATCTTTCTCAACCTTTGCGCCTGCCTGGCCAAGAGTCAGACCGGCAACACCGTCGACAACAAGATCCTCCCCGGTCAAAGTACCGGTTTTATCAAAGCAGGCAACATCGACCCGGCCGGCGAAAGGAATCCGGAAAGGCTCAGTGCAAAAGATAGCAAACTTGCTCAGAGCAGCCAGACTAGTGTTGACAGCAAGGCTGAGCTCCATAGGAAGTTCGGGAGGTACGACACTCGTGATGATGAGGACACAATCCAGGAGCAATTTCGACCTCTTGCGATCCTTTGCCACACCCTCCTGCCAAACATACCATGAGGCGGCAATGGCGAAAATAAGCAGGAATAGAATAAAGAGCAGGGCTTCCACGTTGTTGGCAGACACCCGCTCGGTGGAGTAGATCATGGTACGCACGAGACTGCCCTGGCTTGTTTCAAAACCGGTTTTCACAACAACACCAAGCGCGCCAGAATCGGGCGTGGGAAGAATACCGGAACCATCATGAGACTTGGCAATATCGTCTGATGTGGTGTTCGCATGAGTAATCTGCAGGACTTTGGTTCCTCCGTGTACGAATGCGTTCTTGTCCAATCCATCCGGTTCGATCAGGTCGTCGCCGGGCCTCAGTTGGACGGACTCCTTCAGAAGTGGTGTACTCTCACCAGAGAGCATAGCCTCGTTAACGATAACACTTCCTTCGATCAAGAGGATATCACACGCCACACCACTGTCTTCCTTGGTTCGGTTAACCGACATCAAGTCACCAGGCAAGAGCTTGTCACTGGTAGTCTTCTGCCATTGTTTCTCCCGGAAGACCCAGACTTCATACGGCTTAATACTCATTCCCCGGAACTCATTGAGCGTCCGCTGGCGCTGCCACACGACCGTGCTCTCAAACATGACAAGCATGAAGAGGGTAAACAGAGAATAGTACCAGTACTCGTCCAACATCCACAAACCAACGCAGAAGATTTGGAAAACGAAGAAAGGCGCAACTGCGTGCTCCTTCCAAAGTTCCACAAAACCCGGCACGGGAATATCAAACGTGTTATCGCCATAGTGGTGCTGAATACGTTCGACCTCTTCCTTGGTGGTCAAGCCTTGGGTCTTCTGGAAGGTCTTGAGGGCAGGCTTGGGCTCAGCGTCGAGGACGTAGGACAAGGGGGCGAAGCATCGGCGTTCAGGGTAGTAAAGAAAGCGGCGCTTCTGAAACAGGAACGAGACCGTCTTCTTTCCACCCCTAGTGTCGAAGAGCAATGGGCAGACCTCAGCCGAACCAGCATTAGCTGCGGGAATCACCTTGATAAGCCGAGCGGAGTCGATCGATTTAGCCTTAGTAGTGGTGAACAGTGTTTGGATATCGATGTTCCAATTCGTCATCAGCCACAAAAGCGACTGGACCGTGATAATGGAGCCAGCATACACAAAGGTCCATTCTTGACCTTGAATGTATGTATCGTAGCGTTCAGGGGAGAGATAGAAGGCGAAAAATGCAGGCCAGATGATCAGGAACGGCCATACATAAGTGTGCAACTGAGTGGGAAGGGGGTTATGGAGAGAGGAGTATTTGATCTGGGGATCTTCGACGAGTCCTGGCCTGGCATCATCAACTTGTCAGTAAGCGGCCGGTCAATGCACGCGATACAGCGAAGGTGTCTCGACTCACATGGTGACACTCGAATGACCACGACGCGGGTCAGACGACGCGAACTTGAGAAACCAAGAAAGCTTCAATAGACCATAGGAAATAAAGGGCCCAAAGCCTTGAAGCCACCAGTATATCTCCGAAGTGCAGGTCGAAGAGGAAAGCGCGAAGAAGCCACCTCGACAGTATAATTTTGGGATTCGCCGCCGAGGATTGAACGTACGGAAGGCCCCGTTGCTCGCGATTGGTCGCCGCCACGTGCCGGGACGGAGCTTGGATTTTCCCGACTTTCGCTGGTTCCGATAAGCAGGCAATCCTGATAGCAACTAACTACTAATGATTACGGAGTTTCACTCCGTATGCTGATAAGAGTGATCCTTTCAGATGGTGAGGACTTGACTTTTTGACCACTTTGCAAATTGAGCCTACGCTACTTAAGTCCGCCGTCTTTGTTTAGCGAATTGGCTCTGAGGTGCTACGTAGAAAGTCACCGAAGCTTCAGCCTCGGACTTTGGGCCTGGCTAATACTTGTGATAGGCACTCGTAACTATGGATATGAAGACGCCAAGATCTGCACAGATTTCTCATAGGCGATTTACACACCAAATGAACATTGTTTGATGTTTGGCCCTCAACACAGAACGCCAGGGTTTCAGTGGCTCTGTTGTTAAATCCAGTTCGGGACGATGGCATGTGATAGATTACTACCGTTAACATCATGATGCGAAGCAGTCAAGATGGTTGTGCCGGAGCAGAGAATGGTTTATGCCGCATAGCCTTTTCAAGTAATTGTCTGATGACGCGAATACCACATACGATATGGGCAATGAATATACTATAACTTATCAAGATTATAGATTAAATAGCATAGAAGATCAACTTCTAGGCCTCATCCGTCGTGACAACAAATGACTTATGTACATTGACCCCGTCCCATGCGCCTGGCTTTGGATTGAGATTTTCCTGACTACTGTGCGGGCTTCCCTGAGCTGTTTGCACGGTCGTAACAATAGCCCTAGTGTCGTCAGGGTTCAGATCCGGACGCCAGAATTTGGTCGAGTTTGTGGTATGTTCGCTTCGCGAGGCATGTTGACCGTTCATACTCGAGAGCGGCATACTTCCGGAGGTTTTCTTGCTGCGTGTAGGAGAGTAGCTGGTTCCGCCCAACCAGCGGAAGAGAGGGCGAAGGGTGACGAGGCAACCTGCTGTAATCCCGAGGCCCGCTTCGACATTAGACCATATAGATATTTGTGTCGTTGCGTCTTTGCTCTCATTAGCGATACGAAGCCTGGTAAGAGTGGCTGACTGTCAAACTTACAGAGGAACTCGGCGTCTTTGTAGGTGGGAAGGAAAGGGATACGGACGATGACACCTGCGCTGGCACTATTACGAGTGTTAGCAAGCGATCGTGCATGAATGATTATGTCCAATCCGTCTTACATGCAGCCCAAGCTCAGGATACCCGCCAACGCGGCCTTGGTTTGGCGACTCATTTGTAATTTCCACACCAAGAAAATAGGTAGCAATCCAAGGGTGAAGTCGCAGATCATCGCAGTGACACTGTATACGTAGGCAATATCGAGGAGTTTGTCAATAGACATGCAGTGTCCGGGTTTGGTGCGCTGCCAGAAGTGTGACACCGGTTTGCACTCGAAGGTTAACATGAACCAGAATACGAGGCCCACGATGATCGACACGCCTACCACACACCATAAGAGGATGGTGTGTACTCTGGAAACAGTAAGACGGAGGAGGGCCAGCGCGATGGAAATCCTGGCGACAACAACTGTCACGACGTAGCTCGTTTGACCTAGCCACCACCACTTCTCAATGTAAGCGAGAGAATTCGACGTGATAGTTAGTGTTCTTACAAAAAGGGCGGTTTCAAGATAGCCGTCTTCCAGTTGCTCGAATTTCTGGCCCATGCCGTACAATGAGCCAGTAATACCACACAACGCAAACAGGATATTCAATCCCTTAATAGTGAATCAAAGTTAACATTAACAGACTCTCTTAGTAGAAGCGCCGATAGTACATACCATAGCGAAAACCATCAGCGCATCATCCCACCCAAATGCGCGCACCAGCCGCAGCCGAACGAAACATCGTAGGCATACGGCAATGAAGGATATCCCCAAGAAAACCACAGTAACGATGAATATTGACTCACTGCGGCCCTTGAATTCGATCATGGTGGAGCACACAGCGGCGTGAGTGCTACAATCAACGAAGGTCGCAGGCTGGAATCGGGTGACATTGTCTCCCCTGGTGTGGGAGGAAGAGAGTGTGAGGCAGCCTAGGCCGGGGTAACTGTCATTTAAGTGGATATATAACCCAACTGGCAACCGTTTTAGGGGTAGCCTGGAAGGGGGAAAAGGTTTGACGCTAAAAGGCTGGTCCACGCATAAGATTCTTAACAAAGTACCGTCTGCTCAGCACAACCGCCCAATGACGAGAAAGCTGATAGTCTCCGAAATGCCGATGGAGCCCGGGTCTAAGTCTTAATGCTGCCATGTGGAGAGGGCTGGATTATCTGCTTGCCATTGAGGATCACTCCAAATGTACGGCATATGTTCTGGTGCTACGGAGTACGTGGGTTAGACTTTCATGTAAGAACTAACTAGTAGGAGGGACAGAGATATCGGCTGTCGGGTCAGTAGCCGCCTGTGATCTGGTACCGAGGTCTATAGTGGCGGACGCTGAATACTGAACAACAGGCTGATTGTCTGGCACTTTTGCTCGTCATGATTCCACATTAGTCTATCTGGATACTATCATCGTATGGAGCCTTGACATTGGATCCTATAGGATAGGAAACAAGATCCATTGGATCGACCCTTGGGCAGCTTGAAGCAGCCATTTCGTGTGCCTTTGCCAGTAACGGCAAATGTACCTGGGCCATAGCGGAGTCCATAGGGACAGAGTGGGTGCTTGGTTCCTAGGTGGGTTTTCGGTGACAGTCACTTGCTCTCCGTTTGAAAAATCGAAAAATGAATTCATGCAGGAGAGGAATAATCGGCTATATGCTATGCCGACTGCACAAGAGAGCAGGTGGGCTGCGTGACATGTTTTGGCCCTTTGGGATTTAGCCCACCTGGGCTCCACACTGCCGCAGCAACGTTTGCCCCAAGGGGCCTGGGCGCGATGAATACCAAGAAAAGATTACATTATAATAATTTGGCAACTGTAGTGTGTTTTGCGCAGAAACAATAGACAGTGAACCACAACTCTCTTTTTTCCTATTGGGACCTTGCCAATTGGGCCTCACTGAGCCTACGAAGACGAAGGGAAGGCAGGACCCTGGTGGACTCTGCAGAAAAATGAGATTACCTCAAAAACCCTGCCGCGTGAGGATTCCCTGCCATGCATGCGGGTTATTGGTCTCCTAGGGACTTCCCTGTCATCATGCCTAGACTATTAATCATAGCGTGTGAGTCGGGCGTTGATCACCACAGCAAGCACTTCATGTCGCCCACAATCCACCAAACTCGAAACGACGTAAAAGTATCCTTCATGGCTGCTGCACGTTTTACATTACCGGGCAAAGGATCTCCAGTCCACTGCCGATGAGCAAGATGTTAATCAAGATAGAATCAAGATAGGGGCGAATCCGACGATTCGAACAGCCAGGGCTTTGTCCTATCTTCGATAGAGTAATGATTGACCGGGATCTCATTGTTCTCATGGTGATCAGCGCAGTCCGCTTGTTTTCCAACTTGCCTTCCTGGGAACAGAATGTGTTTGTTCTGGGCTCTAGAAATTCTAGATCCGTCCTTCCCGAAGATTTAGTCTACGGGAAAAAGCAAATGTTGGTTGCAATAGCTACAAAGTAGCACAAAGCATGTTGCTTTTTCTCCTTCTCCTCTTCCTCTTCTTCCTCCTTCTTCTTATCCCTCCATGCCTAAGGTGCCCATAGCACCAAGAAACAATTAAACAATCACATCCGGGCATGTTTTGAAGAAGCATTCCTAGGGCGTAGAGTAGCCAGAATGGATGCTCCCGCTGGACACGGCACGGAAGTCGAAGTGTCGAAGGAAGGAAGGAACCGTGCGTGCCGAGATTCCCCCTCTTTGCCCTTTCATCGTTCGGCAAGCCAGCCCCAGTATCCCCACACCTATCCAGGCATCAGATGTTGCCGATCCAATAGTCGTGAAAAGGATGGAAAACCGCCACAATCCCGCAATAACAGCAATATATTTAGCTACTCCCAGGCCTATTCTTTTACGACAGATAATATATTTCCTATCATTGGCCAGAATCAACATACACCTCGTCCATCAAGTCTCCAGCTAACATGGTCTATCGTGTGGGTGACTCAACGGATTTAGCATCATCTCTCATTTCGCTTAGGGCCTTAGCTCAGGAGTTCACGCTAACATGCCTAGCCCCAAAGACTAACCGCCCACCTAAGGCTTCAGATTTTAGACGCCTTGCCAAACCCAGCTAGAGCTCCGATCGCACTGTAGTTCGCCATCTACTTTCCATGGTGCCGACCTGACCAGCTGAACCCGCCGATTTCCAGTGCCCAGTTTGGCTACAAAAATCGGCCCCTTCCGTCATGGGTACTATATCTATTTCGGGAATGCTTTGTGTAGATCATGCCAAAGTGTCGGTGGTGATACTCTTTTCAGTGCATGCTGTCATCCTACCTTAGCACTTGATTATGGAGCTAGCTCTGTAACTTATGTTCTTCCAGGAACATGGTTCGGTCCGTCCATGGTTCAGAGGCACGGTGGCAGCAAGGATAATCGCAGTTAACCACGGGTTGAGCTGCCCTGACATGCGAGTTGAAATATTACACACGTCGATCAAAATAATTATCCAGCTTTGAGGCTATTTTTGGTCGATCTTGTTAATTACCAACAATCTAATAAAGCTTGCATACATGCTGTCGGCAATTCTAACCTCGTGGATACCCGAAAGGTTCCAGGCTCCAACTCGAAGACATCTCGATCATCGTGTTCTTTCCACTGGTGCCGAATCTATCCCGTTACGTGCGGCCCCGATGTTTAACAGTTGGCACAGGCCCATCCTTTATTTATCACTTGTTGAGGCATCCATGTAGGCGAGTCACGTGCTGTGCTCAGACCTCCCACACAAAGCATCTCTATGTGTTGCTTTATTTCACTCTCCTAGATAGCTTAATTTAACTTACTCTTTTACTTCTGTTTTCATTCATTTATTTATTTTATTATTTCTATAAAATGCTTTTTAATAGATTATAAGCCTGATCTTTATATTATAAAGTTATTCAGATTTATTACAGTCAGCCATTTACTACTAGATATAATATTTTATAGATTATTAATCTTAATAAATCTAATAGATTTAATTGAATTATTTACACATGTTAAGAAAATATATTATATAATTTGTCTATCTGCTTGTACTAAGTATATTAAATAAATAAAATAATATAAGAAATTAGATATAATATATTATTTAAAAATCTTTCTCTGGAAGAAGAGAAAATAATAATATTTAAATTATAAGTAAATAGATTATTTAAATAAATATTTAATAAGATTTCAGAGTTGCTGCTCTTGCTAAAAAGATATATAAATTTTTTAAAATAATACTTTTAAATTAAGTAAATATTTAAGAATATCAGGCTACTAGATCTAATTAATAAGAATTTATCTAAATTTAATAATAAGTATATAAAATATAAGATATAATAAATCTATTTAAGAATTATCTAGTTATAATTAACTTAGAATCTATCAGATAAGATGCTTGATCTATTTATAAATTCTATTAATAAAAAAAAATATACTAATAATATATATTAAATATTTTAGAGAATTATTCTCGGGTATAGTATTATACTGTATCAGAATATTATATATAATCTTTTTAATATAAAGTGATCTTTGTATATTATAATAATTAAATTTATTAAAGATTTCTAATCTAACTTTATTCTTAGTAGAATTTTATAATATAAAATACTAATTTTTATAACAGCACTTGTACTTCTATAAGAAATAAAAATTAATATATTTATATAAATTATTTTAATAAAGAACAGGATGCCAGAGAACTTAAATATAATTTATAATAATAATAATTTTTATATTATCTGCAGAAATATAAAAAAATAATATAGTAAATTCTACGAGGTAGAGATAATAGCTATTATAAAAAAAGATTAAGATTTATTTAATAAATTATTTATTACTAAGAAAGAGTAGAAAAAGACTATATATTTTATAAGAGATATTTCTTATAAAAAATATATTATTAAAATAAGAAAAATAATTTTTAAGTATATTAACAGAGTCTGTAATTATTATAAATATATTAATTATAATTAAATAAAGTATTAGTATATTAATACAGTTTTATATTTAAAATAATAGAAACTGTATATTTTAGATATCTAGTTCTTTAGAGAAAAATATAACTAATATAATAAAGGAAAATTAGATTTAAATTTAAAAAATAATTTTAAAATAATATCTGTACTTATGAAGCAGATAATAAAGATATTTATTTAATATATTATTTTATATAATATAAAATTAGATAATAAAAATTTAAATATTTTAAATTTCTTTAAAATAGTAATTGGAAGTACTACTAATTATTTATTATATTAGATTTATAATATAGGCAGCTTCTAATATCTTATATTTAATTATATCTTATTAAATTATTACTATAATCTAGATATTTTTAATTTCTATAAATATAGTATTTTTAATAAAGAAATTAATATTATTAAATTAACTAGCTACCAGATCTTATTCTTATCTATAAATAATAAATATCTTGAGATCTAGATTAAGATATTTTATTAATTAAATCTTATCTATAGTTTTTTCTTTATAAATTTTTTATAAAAGAATTTTAAAATATATATAAATATTAAAAACCTGATCCTATATAAAAAAAAAGATAATAAAATAATAAAATATCTGTAAATAAATAAAAATATATTTTTTATATAAACTTAGAATATAGAATTAATTTTTATTATAATTAATTTTTTATTATTATACAGATAATACAGGCATACAGGATTTTATAAAATTATTTCTATTATAAAAAATTAGTAAATTAAATTTAAATACTGTAAGAATCTTTATTATAATATATATTTATTAGAAAAAGCAAAGTATTTAATATTAAAAAATCTTATTTTAAAAATCTTTAATTTTATATAATTCTAGCACGCGGATATGCAGCAGGTAACTTTAATTAATTATAAAAAATTTAAATATTTTCTAATAATAATAAATAATATTATCTGATTAGTTAGAATAGCTATATTAAAATAAAAAGATAATATTTTTATAAAATTAATTTAGATAAATAATAAATACAAGAATATAATCAGTAAATATATTATTTTATAATATCTTAATAGGGGCTGTAAGTTTAATAAATTTAAAAAATAAATATATTATAAAAATTAAGAAATTTATATTATTATATTACTTCTCTGAATATCTAAAGTTAATAAATTTATTAAATATTATAATAGTTTACTTAACCAGATAAGCAGGATTATAATACTTAACTTAAATTTATTTATAATATTCTGGCTGTTTACTGTGAGATTTATTATATAAATTCTTAATTATTTAATTCCTGCAGAAAGTGAGATTAAATAAATATTTATTTATTTATATAGATTATTTTATAATCTCTTAAATCTTAATATCTTACTTAAGTTTTTATATATATTTAAATATTATTACTACTAATATATATTTATAGAAAATTATATTATTTCTAGAAAAATAAATTCCTGTACTGATACTGGCTATTTTATTAGATTTAATAAAGATAATAACCATGTGTATTTAATATAATATTTTAATTTAAATAAAATTAAATATTTAAGAGATGTAATATTTTATGAAGAATATATATATAAAAATAACTATAAAGACTCTGATAATATAACTACTATATTTATATTTATTTTTAAAAATTTAATTATATTAATGTAGGGTACTAAGATTAATTTTAATAAAATAATTATATATAATATACAGAATATAATTAATTATAATAAGATTCTTTTTATATAGAATAATAATACTGACCCTATATATAAAAAAATAGAAATTATATTTATATTAGTTAAATCTATTAAATTTATTTTTTTTATCCTGCCTGCGCCTATTAATCTGATTTATTTAATAAAGAATTTCTGTAACTATAAGATATTATCTATTAAATATATAAAATAAGATTTTTAATTTACTAAATCTGAATCTCCTACTGCTATAATTACTGTACTAAAATAATTTTAATAAATTATTAAAAAAAAAAGTTTTTTATAACTAGAAAATAAATAAGTAACTGTACTGGAGTAAGAATTTAATTTATTTTTTTTATCTATTCTTAAGTAACATGAGATTAATATATTAAATATTTATATAAAAATTATCTTATCCCTGCTTATCCTATACTGGAAGAAAGTTATAATTATATAGATTAATAAAATTAAATTAATAAATATTTATAAGGTAGTTAACTGACCTGCTAGTATTTATATAATTTTAAATAAATAAATATTTAATTTAAAAATTAATATAAAAAATATTATTATATAATTTTATACTTACTAGATGGTTTACAGTAATTATTAGATATTTAATATTAATTATACTAAATTTTTTACTCTGGTAGTAAGTAAGATTATTCTTAAAATATTTATAATTAATATAGTACTGAAAAGCCTTTATTAAAAGTAATATAATATTATTTTTATTTATTTATATATATAAATAGAAGATAAGCAGGTCTATATAAAATAATTAATTAGATTTTATAAGAATTTTTCTAAATATATATATTTATTTAAAATAATATTTTATAAATTACAGCAGACAGTATATTTTTAATATTATATTTTTAATAAAAAGTTACAAGAAGTCAGCTTTAAATTTCTATTAGAAAATCTGTGTGTATACAGAAATAATAATATATAATTTATTATTTATATAGATAACTCTGTTATTACTGGCCCTGAGTAAGTAGATCTGATTTTAATAAAATATTATTTAAATAAAGTATTTAGATTTAAAGAGCTAGATAAACTGAAGATTCTATTTAATTATAATATTTTTTATAATTATAAAATAAATAATATCTTGCTTAAACAGTTTATCTATATAAAAAAATATTTTATTATTATTAAAATATAATCTTGCTCAGGTATTATTATTTTTATAATATTTATTTATATAAAAATAAATTACACTGAGATATTAATTAAAAAAATTAATATTAATAAATATTAAAATCTTATAGATAGATTGAACTGGCTAATTATTAAAATAAGATTTAATTTATATTTTATTATATTTTGCTTACAAAGGTATATATATATTTTTATTATAATAAATATAAAAGTATTAAAAGATATATATAAATATTTATATAATATTACTTTTTACAGGATTATTCTGGTGGCTAATTATACTAAAGAAATTAAGATTTATATAAATATTATTTATACTAACTATAAGAATAGTAAATTAATAGAAAAATAAATTATATTTTATACAGATAGCTTTATTATCTGATTATTTAATAAATAAAATATTATTATATTTTTTTTTACTATTACAGAATACTATATATATAATACTGTTATTAAAGATATCCTGTATATTAAAAAGTTAATATAAATATTTAATCTTAAAATATTAAATAATAATAAGATATCTCTATTCAGTAATACTATTAATTTACTATAAATTTTTAATTATAATATCTATATAAGATTTATTAAATAGCTAAATAACTACTACTTATTTATAATAGATCTTATTAAAATAGGTATTATATCAGTTTAATATATTATAGATACTTATAATTCTGTAGATAATCTTACTAAAATACTAGATTAAAAGAAGTTCTATAACTTTTAGATCTTTCTAGAAATAATTCTATTAATTATAATCATGTAATATCTAAGAAACAATACTTAATATATAAAAGATTATTTATTTAGAAAATATTTATAACTTTATTTAATATTTTTTTATATACTTCTTTATCTAGAAGATCATGTTAAGATATTTATATAGATAAGTTATATACTGCACTTAGACCTCCCATATAAAGTATCTTTACGCGTTACTTTGTTTCGCTCTTCTAGATAACTTAATTCAACTCACTCTTTTGCTTCTGTTTTCGTTTGTTTATTTGTTTTGTTGCTTCTGTAGAGCACTCCTCAACATCACTTGCAGACCATATCTCTGGCTGACATCCAATGTCTGAAACGCTGGCTGTCAGCATGTTGTTTCATCTCATTGAGGGGTAGCATCCCACCGACCCGTTAGCCGTCAAATATGGCATTGGTGTCAGTCTATTTATAAAATCAAGGGAGTGGGGCCGACCTGTTATCAATGGTTTTGGGATTGGCTCTTTGATAGGGATTAAGGGCGATTCAGTGCGACTTGGAGGATAACTTCTCGGTGAACAACAGTATTTTGTAGACACTATAGAGACGGACATATCAGGGATATCTCAATATTTCTTCAAACTGACGATCTCGGGTCTCTCGGAGAATAAAAGATGCTAAGGTTCATCTACCATTAGACTAATGAAAAGAAACAGGTTTCCTGAGCTCGCCCGAACAGGACCGCATCCAATAGACAAATTGATAACAGTAATCCAGTTCCATCATGGCAACAAGTGGCAGAGAAGCCTGATATGAGGCTGGCACTAATCACTCATTACACCTCTCTCACATCCTAGAATCTATATAAGCGGGTCACATTATCACGCGCCTTATATTAAGCAACTACACATCACGATATGCGATTGTTCGCCATAAAGCATGCTCTTATGATTCTAGAAGCGACATCAGTAGTCTTGAGATCTGGTGCTAACTAGATATGCCTCCACGAGCAACCGCTACGTCTAGATCGTGCCTCTTAGGACCCTCCAGCTATATTGTTTACACGTACTACAGCATTGGAGTAAACCTCTAGAGGCCCATCAGGTTTCGTTGACTGATAGCTAATGACTGCAAGAAAGGGGGCTATCTAGCTCCCAATCAAGTCATCTGACGACCCCATTGGGGAGATGAACATGAACTGACAAGTCCTCAGTGGTTTCTGACACTATATCAAACGCCATAAATCTGAGGCCAGCTCTACATGCACGTAACTTCTGTGCCTTTGAGTCTTGGCATAATTTTCAATGCACTTTTTTAGCTAAGAAACAGATTAATGCCTGATTGCATCAATACCCCTTACCATTTGATGTGTTGCAATTAATGATTATGGCCACAAAATAGGGAGAGCATAATCTTTACTTCAAATGTTCGCCCTAACGGCGACGTGATTAGAAGGCATTTTAATCCAGGCACTGTTACTAAGATATTGCATCATGGTTTACGATTTGTTGGCGAAAGTTAGGAGTTCTGATCCTCGGGGGCTGAAAAGGGCCTTCGACTATTCATAAATGTCTGTCCTGCAGTGAAGCAAAAGTCCTGAAATACCCCCGAAGAAAGAAACTCTCCAAACTTTAATGCCCACTAGTTCCCAGTAACCATGTAGAAAAAGAATGACATTTTGAGAATGCTCACGAGGAAGAGCAGTGCCCATACTCGATTAGCCATTGGTTGGGTTGCTATGTTCTGGTTCAAGGGATATACTGAGCGAAACTGCGAGATCCTTCGGAAAGCTGTTCTTTCAGCTGAGTCCCTCTCCGATGAAAACAAGAAGCTAGCATGAAAGAGCTTAAAGCATGAAGCTTTTCAGGAGAGGTGAGGTTGTAGCTGTTCCTAGTATTGAATAGGTGAGAGCTCTCTTAGGCTCTAGTGGCAGCAGATATACTCTTGGACCATTCCTCTAGTGAAGCTTGTACATAAGTACGGCCACCTTAGGCCTCAGAGAATGATACTTTGGGGGAAACTCAAAATATGGAGTACAGAGTATAAGATCGAGTATTAATTCGCTCACGGATGTAACCAGCCACTAGTGGATGATCTAGTGATGCTTTGTAGTACTAGTAGTAGTGTGGAGGCCTAACAGGGATCTATGCTCCTAGATTTCCCTGAAACTTGGTCCTCCAAGTACTCGTGTAAGCCTTGTGGTTTTACTACGTAGAGATCAGCTCCTTAGCCAATGCTATTTTGTAATGGTTTTGTTCTATCCCCAAAGTTGTTGTTTTCGAATGGCTTCATCGTGATGGGGAGGGGAAAGTGGAGATTAGAATCTCACCTATGTAGAGCTAAGCAGGGGATCCTCGCTAGCACCGACCCGCAGACACTTTGGCTTGAGCTGAGTCCACGTAATTGTACCCCCCAGGAAGAAAAAATATCCCTGCTTCTAAGCGGGTTGTAATCGAAACAAGAGGCAGAAATTTTGCTCATTGTGTGCTCGTGCTGCACATAGGCATCAAAGCAATGTTCAGTCACCCATCGTCATATGCTAATGTCTCGCTTCCCTTGACATATACACATCTATTACTGCTTTGGAAAAGCATCATGATTGATTATCATTGACTTCTACATATATGTCCACCGTTTTTCTGACCCCATCAACCGGTGGCTGATCCTCTGTCAGCCCTCTAGTGCTTTCTGTGCTCTCCGCATCATCCCTGTTTCTGCGAAATGTATCATCCTGTATGGTACACAGTCCGTTTTGCGTCGTATCAAATGTAGAGAACAACTCGGTAGCTCGGAAGCCTGGAAACAAAGCAGAACGTCTTCTCGCTCGAGAGCTGTAGCCACCTTGATTCCCGGATTTGTTTCTGGAACCTGTGGCTCCTTGAGTGGTGCTGAGTTCGATCTCGGACATATGGACGCCATTCAACCCGGTTTTGAGATTGCTGAGGATGCGATAGACCGAAGGCATGCAGGCTGCTATGATGCTGAGGTACATTATAAGTCTGTGATGTTCTAACATTAGCTGCGACCGAATAGAGTGTGATAAGATCCTCTCACTCGTTGCAAATGTCCACATTAACAATTGTCCCTGTGAAACGAATGTTAACGTTTCGGCTGCCTTTGCCTTCTTTACGTCGAGTGCCCGGAAACTCTTACATGTTGGATCAGATGAATGTAGATATGTCGGAAGATACACGAGTTCAGTGATACTGACCGCCACCACACTTCAGGATCATTAGTCTGCATTCAGCCATTAATATTTGGAAGGACCCAGTTCTCTTACACAAGTCTTGTGGCAAATGAAGCGATAATTTGAAGACGCTTTTGCAATGTCATTTGCACGCTCCAAATCATAATCAGTGGAATCACCACCAATGCCAAGTCTGTGAGGATGTTGATGATAATGATTGGATAGTTAATAGCGCCCTGAATATGGTTAGGTAGGAATAACTTATACGATCACAAATCTTACCTGCCCGGCACACTGGCTTGGTAGATACTCCCAGTGCGGTCGGCATTGAAGAGCCGTGGCAAAAACTGCAAACACAGTCCATAGGCCGACAACTATGATGGTAATCATGTTGGCTCGTCTGATGCGCTGTCCTGGTGTGAGCCTGTGAATCAATCGACAGGTGGACAGTTTTGAAAGTGAAAGGACAGGAATAAGAAGTAATTGAGCGGCATAGGTGAGCTGATACAAGCAACGACCAAGTAAGCATTAGGATCTATACCAGTAACTGGAGGAAATACAGCTAACCTTGTTGTACTTGGAGAAGTCAGCAGTGGAAAGAGAAGATGCATGTTTCCCAAGCCCATGGTCAACTGCAAATTGAGTAAGTAGAGTTTGAATGAAGGCAATAATCTGGCAATAAGAAACTATTAGTCGTGCTCTCAGAGGGTGAAACTGGTTTTGTACTAAGGCAATCCACAGAGGTGCATCTGTGCTTAAGAGCACAGTCTTCGAATATAAGGCAGTTCCAAATTTGATGGCGACGATAATCAAAGTCACGAAGAAAAAGATAAAAGCCACGAGTGTAATTGCTGGGCCTCTGTTATAAGGTGTTATTATTTCCAAGGGTGGTAGAAGCTCAGATGATGATGATGATGATGGCATGGCCAAGATAACATGCTAGAAAGAGCACTCTCAACATCGATGGTTCAAGGAGAAGCAGATAGATTGGGGACCAACAGGAACTCTTGCTACCCCCATATATAAATGCTCAATGTTTCATTAGCGCTAAGGCTGGCGGGGATATGGTTCATTTACGACTGGTAAGAGTTTGCCATAATTGCAGGGTTTTGTTGGTTTCACAAACCTAGTAAATACGTTAATTACTATTTAATAAACCAACAACAAAGGCAGCTTTGGAGCACTGGTCTAGATCAATCTGCACTATGCGCAGTACTCAGACCAGAACCACATTAAAAAGATATCGGGGCCTATGTGAATGCGCAATCAGTGTCGGTAGCGTAGCAATGAGAGACAAAAGGATAGAATCCCTGTTTAGTTCACATTCCAGTCTGGCACTAATTCGTGACGGTGGCTACCACCTACAGTAGCTAAAGCCGCCGGCCGGTTACGATCAGGGATTAATATATCGCCCATGCTTAGTTACATCGCATAGAGCAATTAGCTTCGCCCACTAATTGTCCTAAATGCAAAGCTATCCCGCTCGAATTGTGTGTTTTGTGTTTTCTTTTTCATCCTTGACCTTCTGTTGTTTTGCTTTTTCTACTGGCTTAACGTCTTGAAACAAGCATCTACCCTATCTAGCACGTTTTATTTTGATAATTGCGAATCATGGAATACGACAATAATTCAGTAGGGCTGTCTAGTCCCGCAAAAGGGCCTCATGCTATGAGCATAGAAGATCCCCCACCCCCATCTTCCTATCAGTATCGAGGGAAGCCACGGCTTGAGGTGAGCATATAACTTCTATATTGCTATAGACCCAGTTATCTGACTGAATGGTATTATATCTCAGAGATATCTAGGTTTTCTGCCTATGCTAGCATTTGCCGCAACCCTACAAGCATCCTGGGAATCTTTAGGATCCAGTCTTCAGGCAGGACTGTTGAACGGTGGCCCAGTCGCAATTGTCTACGGCATGCTCCTATCCTTCGCTGGCTCCCTATGCTTGACTTTGTCTATGGCAGAAATGGCATCGATGTAAGCAAGGATTCCTACGACGAGAACATCCTGTGTCGTAATGTGTTCCTCTAACCGCTGTACACAGTAATCCCGTTGCCGGTGCTCAGTATCACTGGACGTATGAGCTCGCGCCATTTGCACCTCGGTTCTTAAGCTTTATCCAAGGTGAGTTACTCCTTTGTTTGAGAAAAAATATTCGATTTTGATGGCTAATACGTAATTTCACCATGGCAGGCTGGGTCACGGTAAGCCTCCAGTAAACCGATGCCGAAGATGACAGTGGACACACTCTAATCAGACACCACTTCGTGAATACTAGGTCATAGCATGGTGGGCCAATGTCGCCGTTGGGCCATACCTAGTCGGCACTGAGATCCAAGGACTACTTGTGCAGAACTACCCTTCCTATGAGCCGGAAGGATGGCATGGGACTCTTTTAGTATTTGCAGTGCTCTTCCTGCCCTTGTTGGTCAACATCTTTGCGCGCCGCCTCTTAGCACCGGTCGAAGTGCTATCAGGTGTCATCCATATCCTATCATACCCGGCAATCATGGTTGTCATGATTGTCTTAGGGCAACGACACACGAACGAGTTTGTATGGACAGAATTCGTCACCGACCAGAGTGGATGGCACAACAAGGGAGTGATCTACTCAATTGGATTGCTAACAGCGGCGTTCACCCTAAGTAGTGAGTCTCCTTTACCTATCAAGCATTTCGCTGCATGCTAATTTATAAACCCACAAACAGGCTTCGACGGCGTCATCCACATGTCCGAAGAAGTCAACGACGCACCCAGAGCCGTCCCCCGCTCAATGGTCTGGGGTCTATGCGTGAACGCCGTCCTTGCATTCGGCTTCGCCATAGCCCTGCTATACACCATGGGCGACTTCCAGAAAGCCCTCGACTCCCCGACCGGATACCCCATCATCGAAATATTCTACGCACAAACCGGATCAAAAGCAGCCTCCAGCGCAATGATGCTCCCGATCCTCCTCTCCGGCTGCTACTCCTCCTTCAACGTCCTAGCATCAGTCAGTCGGCTCACATGGGCATTTGCGCGCGACGAGGGATTCCCCTTCTCATCGTTCTTCGCACATGTATCACCTAGGTACAAGATCCCCCTGCGATCTCTTTTCCTAGTGACGACAATCACCGTTCTGATTGCCTTGATCAACATTGGTTCTTCGGCGGCGTTCAATGCCGTCTTGTCGCTGGACACTCTCGCCCTTTATATCTCCTATTTGGTCCCGATTCTGTTCATGCTGATCAAGCGAGTTCGCTTCCCGGGTGAGATCCGCTATGGCCCGTTTAACTTGGGGAGGTTCGGTATTCCGATTAATACTTTTGCCATGCTGTACGGTACTTATATTACGATATTCCTTCCGTGGCCTGAAACTCAGCCTGTCACGGCGAGCGGCATGAATTATGGTGCCCCGGTTTTTGGCGTCGCTCTGTTATTCGCGGTGATTGACTGGTTTGCTCGAGGACATAAGAAGTGGAATGGGCCCACAGTTATGACGGCGCCAAAGTAGCGCTAACGGGCTGTTGATTAAGGGATGGGAGCATCCTAGTGGGATATATAGTGTGGGCGGGGATGGGTTGAGACGTCTGCGACGGACGATAACCACTTAGTACTACTGGGTTTCGGTTTCAGTTCTCTTTCAAAAGTGGGTTGTATGCTTGCATGCTGATAGGATAGCCATGATGATGATGACATGTCTAAAGATGACACAAAATAGACGATTATTTGTTCCAGCGTCCATCACAGAGTAGCTAGGACGATCTGGCCTCAGCAACCAATTCCGCGCGATTCAAAAATCTAGTTATCATGCAAGGAGTCTCAGACTCTTTAGAAAATATATACATCTTTAAAAAGCGCCCAGTAAATATGCCAGATATTCCTCACATTATGAACAAATGTTCCCCCTATATCTACCACTTCGCCTCCTTACGGCCCTGGAACTCCTTCAGGATGGCGACGTTCTTCTCAAGAGCCACCACCTCGGCGTTCAGGGACTCGTTAACCTTAGCCTGGTCCTCACCAAGCTTGGCGTAGAAGTCCTTGCGGTAGGGGGTAGCCGACATAGCAGCAGAGAAGATGGGCTTGATAACGAAGGAGTGGTGGGGCTTGAGGGTGTTGCCGTAGGCTTCACGGAAGGAGTCGGACAGCTCGGTGCTGCCGTTGTTCAGGTTGTGGCGGAGGGCCTGGGCGGTGAAGTCAAGACCTCTGTAGCACAGGACAAATTGTATATTAGCATGTGTAACTCAAGTGGCATGTATACAACGACTCAATAGCCGCTGAAACCCAGTGGGGTGGGGGAAGCTGGGTAGGTGGACATACCTGACAAGCCAGAGCAGACCTTCAGAAGCGACGTGCTTCTTGGTCTTCAACTCGTTGATAACAAGAGCCTGGAGAGTCTCAGACTCAGCGGGGGCAGCCAGCTGCCTCTCCCTGACTTTCTATGATAGAAGGTAAGCTTCCGATAGCATCTGACTGCGGGGTACTATGTATGTTCGAACCTTGATGTTGTTGGTCAGATCACTCTTGACAGGAGTGAAAGCCTTGGAGCCGAGAACATCTGAATGAAGAGCATCAGAACTGTCACTTTATTATCAAGAGAAGCGACCAATGGCATACCGAAAAGAGTGGTGAGGGACTCGGCAGCTTCAAGGAACTCAGTGGTCGAGATGCCGTTGTCGTTGGCAGCATCGATCTTGACGTCCGCGAAGGACCTCTTCTGTTGGTCGAACCAGGTAGCAGACATGATGACTAGTGATAAATAATAGGAAGTCTAACAAAGGTAGAGAACAAATATGCGAAGAGGAAGTGAGCGATTTAAATAGATACAATCAGGGGGTCCAGGGGAAGGAAAAGGCAACGTGGAGGGGAAGGCGGCAGTTTAACAACAACGACAGGCGGCCTGTCACTCTCTCCCACTCTCACACACCGCCGGAAGCGGGACACGCAAGCGGTGAGGCCAATCAGCGGGTCCATTGCCCCTGATCAATCTATCCTTAGGTAAGACACGGCACAAACAGTACAAACTCCCTCAGCGCGGTCACGGGATGGGCAGCGACGTCATCGTGTCTGTTGGCCTGCTTTGTATACCCTCTGACTTGTTTACTCTCTAGAAGCTTCATCCTAGGCAAGTATGTCAGCGATAATAAGAGTATTAATTTATATAGTCTATATGCACCTTGTAGCCTGATTAGTGTTGAGGCGTAGCTCTAGGATTGTATACTATGTAACGGCTGTTACGGATGTCGCAAAGTCAAGATGCTATTGCGATGGCCAATTTACTACCCTAGTATCACAGACCCCTTCAAAACAGTTTACTTCACGCTCTTTGAACGAATTTTCAAGTAGCACATAAAGCATGTCATCATTAGGAGGGGAAATACTACTTAAAGACAAAACAATGCTGCCGAGAAGTGAAAGCCCAGTCGTAGAGACATGCCACATACCAGGATGATATCTCATTAAAACCGCGCTGCATGTCGATAAGCGCTACCCATAAATCAATCCCTTCAACGCCAAGCTCAAAGCATACGTTGCATCACTCAATGCATTAACTATCTCATGGTCGGCTGGAACAATGCGACTACCAATCCTTTGCCAGCACACTGTCTGAAGCGTTGGAACCGTCCATCTCAATGATCCCACTGGACTGAACGCTCTGCACATCAGTCGCAGAGGGAGGCCTATCAACCTCAACGGGCTCGTCGTCCAATTTCTCTGTGCGGCCATCTTCCGATTTGTCAACCTCCTCCCAGTCATCGTCAGATCTGATAGAGAAATCCTCCATGTAGCTTCTACCGCTACGTTCGGTCTGGCCCGCGTTAACCTTTTGCTTCTTAGTCTCCGGTTCTCCGTTCAAGGCAGGATCAACGGTCGGTGGGTCGGGAAGCTTTGCTGCGAGCATCTCCGCCGATTTCGAAGACTCACCGTCAGATTCGAGTTGAGATTCGCGGTCGCTGCTGGCGCTAGGGGCACCCTGATCTTCTGGAGGGAAGAACAGGCTAATACTGTTAGTCAAACCAATGCCACCATCATACCCAGGGACAAGTCATGACTCACGGAGTAAACTTCTCGTAGGCTATCTCATCCTTGCGCTCAAAGTTGCAGAAGATGATCCGTTCCAATTTCCCGATGTTGCTCGGAATCTCCATGAACTTCCGTGTCTCGTCGAGGACGACACGGGCAGCTACTTCACTCGGATAGCCATACACCCCTGTGCTGATTGCCGAAAAAGCAATGCTTTTCATGTTGTTCTCCACGGCAACCTCCAGACTGCGGCGATAGCAGCTGCGTAGCAGAGTCTCCGGGCGCTCCCTCCCTCTTTGCAGTTCGAGATCATAGATAGGCCCAACAGTATGAATGATTCGTTTACACGGAAGGTCATAGGCAGAGGTTATCTTGGCATCACCGGTGTCACAGCCATCGAGGGTGCGGCATTCTTCCAGCAGACCAGGTCCGGCAGCGCGGTGAATGACACCATCTACTCCACCTCCTCCAAGTAGTGACTTGTTGGCTGCATTCACGATACAGTCGACCCCTTCCAATTTGGTGATGTCGTTGCGGATCAGAGAGACAGTGTCGTTCAAAGCCTTGGAAGGCTGTGCGAGCGGAGAGGAGACTGGAACCAAGCGCTTGAGTTTGTATAGGAGGGAAACGGTCGGAATCTCAGCGAGAGGCACAAGTGGAGGAGCCATTTTTAGGCAGACAGCTGGTTAGATAGATCAACTCAGTAGTGTGAGTAATTGGAGCAGCAGATGACAGGTTGGTTGACAGTAAACTGAACACTCGCCACAGAATGTGCTCGGGCTTAATCAAAATTTCTTGTCGTATCGTGGGATTCAATTCGTAAATGTGTCGTAACTGGCATTAATCACTGATGTAATAAAGCTGATGACGATGATGATGGTGATGGACTGGGACTTGATGTGTTACTCCTAGTAGTTGTTGGCAAAGGAGGGGAGCTCGACTGCACGTGATGGCACTGTGATACCCTTTATCTTATCGGAGGTGTTCTGAAAGCGGTAATGTTCGCATGTGATCAAGAGGTGTCAACCAGATAACCCTTTCCCAGTATAGTAGTGGATGAAACTTTATGATTATGCCATTGTACATTCTATTAGTGATGTCCTAATTTGGGTTCGCCAATGGAAGCATAGACTAATGTCGTTCACCCAGTAATCCATCGTTATCACCAAGAAAATCACAGCAGCAGTTGGGTTGTTAGCTACCGATGGGGGAATGCTTACTTCTACCTTCAAGAAAGAGTCAGGAACACTAGTTTATTGTTTGATTGCCATATTCTAGCATTTGAATATAGCTCTCTACAAGTAATATCCCATAAGTATCCTCAAGTCTGTTTTAAGCGCCTTCCAGGTGCCTTCCACAAACCTTCTACTCATACCTGACATTCACGCTGCATGCGACTAATGCCTTTGAGGAAAAACCGCATAAATTCCCAAAGTGCACCTATTACTACTCTGAATCAACAGACACATCACAGTAGTATTAGTTTCAACCAGCAATGGCACGATCTCAGTTAGTGGACGTTGACAACCCTCATAATTTAACCGAAGCCAATAATTGCCCAAGGAGCAGCAGCAAGGAGCTCTGCTGTGCAACATAAGGGACGCCAGGCAAGGACGGACGGACCATGATAAGGAAAAGCGGAGTACGTAGTGTATTCAATCCCAATACATGACATGATAATGAAATGTCAACATGTCAGAATGATAGATAATAATGTACATCGGCATGATCGGAGCTGTCATGATGTCAGTTCAACTAACCTGACAATATCGCACTACTTACCCCATACATAAGAATGTTAATTTATGACTCGGTCCGAGCGCCCTTGCGCCGCCACCACCCTTGAGCTTCTTTTACCCCAATATCTTACCTATCTCAACCGATATGACTCGTAGAGTATACAGCGCACACAGGCGGCATGTATGCAATCATATATGTGCAATAACTCCCAGATAAAAAGGAGCCACAATCTTGCAATCTCATGTCGTGATTGGACCAGCCATGAGCGAGGCGAGCTAATGCAAGGGCGCGCGCGGCGACTGGCGGCACGCGATAGTGTTCCATCGATCAGAGATCGAGGTCAACCGAATCATGATGGCATGAGCGCAAGCAGTATTACCTTTTTGGGCCATATTTTATATTGTTCACACCTCATGAAACTAAGCCAGGTATCTAGAGACCTGGTTATAATGCAACAGTTGTTCAATATGAATAAGTTAGCCACCGGATAAGTCCCAGCGCCTCGGTTCTTTATCCCGGCCATTGTATTCCATGCATATAATGATTTGTGCATGGAAGTTTCTCAATCTGGTTATTGTTTAAATGAAACAGATCGGGATTACTCTCCGATCTCCCTACAGTACTTCACAGCCTGGGTATGTACCGCCGGTGTCGGTCGAGCTGCATCGGCCCCTGCTTGTTGCTCTATACTATTCTCTGTTTGATAAGCATAAGCGAAACTTGACTAGCAGGGGTCCCTGTGCATGGAGGACGCTGTCTGGAAGTCATGTACATATGTTAGTCAGTTGCCTTTCCCGTTGCCTTTTTCTTTTCTCGATCGTTGAGGGTGAGGGATAAGCAATAACAAGGATATGTTAGGCTGAATGACAGCTGTCATGATTGCCTTACAAAGACACAATAAAATCATTTTAGGCAGTTGTTCAGTCTCAGAAAAGATGCGACCATAACATGTTAATTACGTATAATTTACTATGACTAAGATGAGGAGGGCCCAGAACGAGACAGACTATACTGGAAGGTATTATGTTCAATTATAAAACTGCCAACATCGGGAGTAAATTACCGCGAAAAGTAAGTACGTAGGCTATATGTTCAGCGACGTTAAGAATCTAAAACTCTTTAAAAAGTGATTGAAGGAATACTAGAACTAAGAAAAGTAAGGAGCGACGGATGAACTTACCGAAACGCAGAGGAAAAAAAAAAAAAAAAAAGAAAGAAAGAAAGAAAAGCAAAGAAAAGGTCTCGTAATATTCTTCCCTCTTGGGAAAAGGCCTGCTGCAGTGAGTGAGTAAGAATCAGATAGGTTGTTCTGCGCTGCAAGAATGCGGTAACTACACCCCGCCCCTTCTGCCGAGACATCGCAGCGATCTCGATCAGCGCGATCTTAAAAACTTTCCCTAAACTGTCTTGTTCCCGGTGAAAGTGGGGCCATAGGTTCATCGCGCCCTTGTGCACCGTAACACAACATACCGTGAGATCGCGAACCCAATTCCAAATTCAAATTCCCTTGTTGGGGAAAGAAGATTTGTCCAAAAATTAGGGGGATAGACCAAAACACCATTTACAAACAGGGCAAGAAAAGAATTTTTTCGTGAATTTCTTTCTTTCTTTCTTCTCCTCAATTATCACCCTCCTTCCAATTCCCCTCTAGCGGTGATGCTTGGCTTGCGAATTCTTCATGCTTAAAGTAAGTAGTACCCCATCTAAAATTTAAGATGGCCAAGCGCCTTCCATTACGGTTCTTTGTTCCATCCAGTCAGCGGGGTTATCCGCGGTGGGGCTATGTGCAGGAAAACCCATTTGGTCGAGATCTGATGTCTTGTCCATCGAGCCACCATCGCACGCTAGTCGGGAACCCAAGATGAGTGTTACCTCTCATCCCGTGGGATCGCTTGTTCTAACCCTCATTTGGTAAAAGCTCCATGCTGCTGACCGATAGATCGTAGCACTGCCCGGTTTTGAAGACGGGGGAAAGCAAAACAAAGCGTAAAAAAAATTAAAAAGTCTAGGTTCGATTTGTCGATTGTTGGGGGAGGGAACGGACGGGACTCGCGGGCTACGATTGCGATGGAAGAGGAAAGGATACGACGGGACCTAAACTTAGGTAATACAAGCTTCAAGATAACCAGTGTGGATATCATTGGGAGGGGTGGAAGGAAATTGGGAAATCCTTGCGAAGCTCTTACTAGAAAAAGCAACATCTGTATGGGAACTGGGGAGTCAACGTAACTGGGGAAACTATAGGACCACAACTAGAAGCAAAGAACCATTCAGGAGGAATAGTGAGACATTTGAAATTTCAAATCTTGAGATGGGGTTGGGAAGAGAAAAAAAAAAAAAAAAGGCCTAGGTATTGTTATCCACCCACAACCCGCTCAGTCTGCACTTCTTACGTGCATACTTGCAGGAGGCTTTTCCTAAGGCATCCTAGCAGCTGGACTTAGGCAGCCGTGCATTCCGGTCTCCCTCCCGGTCTGTTTTTTATTTTTGTTTTTTAACTTCCCCGCCTCGTGTTCATAAGTCATGGCTTGTGGTCTCAGAAAAATAGTATGAGGGGCGCACTGCTGGCTGAGTTGGCACTTATCCATTCCAGGAACTAAGTGAGATTTAGTCTATCCATAGATTTTGGTGTCCTTTGGGTCATGATAGGATAGAGTAACTTGGGTAACTTGGTTAAGTAGTAGGCTGGGGCCCGATTAGCGAGTTCCGTTCTTGGGTCGCATGAATCGCACCACTAGATACCTTAAAAACTTAAGCCCCGTCCCACCAATCGCATTCCAACGCCTCGATTGACACGAGGCGTGAGACTACTAGTAGATACACGCAAACCTGCAGATACAAGTACGTATGGAGGTCTAGTATGTAACACTGGATGCATGTAAGGTCAGTTACATACACACTCCGCTACAACTCCAATACATCCTTTTTATTTTTTTTCTTTTTTGTACATACAGCATACATGATTTACCTAACGCAGGGTTACGCTGCTGCATGGCAAGTGCACATATGAGCATACAGTATGCATGCATGCATGCACGGAGCAGGAATGTAATATTTAGTTAATCTGACTGTTCTGCTTGGGATGCATCAGTTGTTCAAGTCAAGTCTCATGCAGACCAAGTAGAGCGCTGCCAAAAAAAAACAAGTTTTTCCAACACTATACCGAGGCATCATGCAAAAAGGTGCCGCGTATGTCAAGTTTGACTATTGCTGTCGTGTAACAGCGGACTCATGTTCTGATATATGCCCGATCATGAAGTGTCAATGTCCTTTATCAAAGACCTAATGCCTATAGTACGTGCCATGTAGGGGCGTACCTACATGATAGTGATGGGGACGTCATGTTTCACAGCATAAATAAAATCGGGCCTCCAAATCAGACAAGACTGGCGTATGTAATACGCAGGACAGGGGTCTGGTATGGATGTATGTATGTATGCGAGCAGGTATTCGCATACAGGGGCGTATGCATCGAGATACCGACTATTACCTACTACCATTACTTAGTAACAGCCAAAATCAGTTCTAACGAGAATCGGTGAGGCTTCAGAGCTGGCGAGGATTTGGGGCGCACGCGACCAACGGAGTACAGGCCCACAACGCCCACCGAAATAGCATACGACGCTCATGCTGACGGTGGGTATTCTTGGTGGCTGTATGGGGTAGGAAGGGGAGTTCGAGAAGCTGCAATCCCAAGATTTGTTACCTCCGGATACCAATAAAACTTTCCGGACTTTACTTGCGCCTCATAGCGCTGTCACCTATCAGATTCCGATGCTTCAGGACCATCGATCCACTCAGGGATGTATTCCGATCGTGGATGATGGGAATGTTCTAGTATGTAGTAGTTAAGTGGTTCGTGACCTTGTGTAAGCCAAAAAAAATAGCTGGCTATGGCCTGGACCACACCGGGACACGGCGGAAGTCAAAAGAGAATCTTGGGTGACAATCAGGAACCAGCACGAATGCGAATATGTCGATCTGGCCCAACGATCCAAAGAGAGTGGGCGGGCAAGGGGTTGGAGTCCGCGAACTGTGGGCTCGATAAGGGACATCTCCCGATCGACCCAGACATCGGCCCTTATCGCCGATCAATGGAAGGAGGGAATGTATGCCATTGTAATATTTTTTTTTTGAACCGACGATCTCAGGTCTCAAGTAGGTCTGCTTCTTCAAGACTGGCTTCGGTGTCAATTGGAGAAGTCAATTATTGATGCCTTTGTGTAAAAAAAAATCCAAGGGTGTCAGCCTGGGACACAGTGGGCTACTGCCCAAGGACAACGTGTTACTATGAGAAAGCCCTTCAGACCCGCTTGGCATGAGACTAATCAGGGCCAACTTCCACAAGCAGCCTATGGGTTGTCTCGAGGAAAACACAAAAGTCCTCCCAGTTGCATGATTGCTGCTCAAATCGGAGTACACACGAATTGTGAGGCAGTGGAAAAGAGACGACTTTCCTTCTTTCTCCCCCTCTCTGTCTCTGTGTGTATGTTGTGTATGCGAGCGAGCTGACAAGTTTCAGCGACTGTAACAGAAAGTTCTGTGAGATCAGATGATAGTTCTGCAAAGATGACCCATCGAGACACTCTAACTTGTAAGGCAATTCATGAGGCTACCACAGCAACCACCCTTATGTCATAAAGTGAGCTTGTATGCACGGGCAGGATCCGTAGATAGTGCACCTAAGGATTGCATCATGCAGACACAGAACGAGACAGAAACGGAAGGTCGGTATGTCGATGCCTTTACGGCCAGCAGTACCGACAGAGTGGTTGCAGTGGGCCTGTAGTGAGACACTATGTTACTGAACCGAATAGACTGCCTATGTATAGAAGGAGTTACTTACGGAGTATATACAGGTGGGAAAATAGTACGTACCTTGGGTTTACATACTATACATACTGTACGTTGTGCCAATCAAGGGCGGCGCTATGCATGATCTTCTCGGAAGCAGCGGGAGCACATGACACAAGATTTTATAAGATACTAATTCCAAAAATGACATCGAGTATCATCTTAGCCTAATCTACTTACATACTAGTCAGTTATGAGTTAATTTCGGAGTTCGGAGCCCTCCAAAGAACATCGTTGAATCGAGAATATTCTTTCCCTGACTCAAATTAGATTAACTTATATTGAGTAGTTTTTCCGCTCAGCCTCCCATGACGTAACCTCGATTCGTCCGATCGGTCGGATCTCGGGGGGCACAGATGCAGTGGAATTTGGCACCCGAGATCCCGTCCGTGAGACAACTTGAACAAGGGTTCTGTTGGGTGTGTAGTGGCGATTAATTAATTAATCTATCAGGCTTACTTTATCGGGCACCGGCGGCGACGGCCGAGGGAAGCACTTTTAAACGGTATGGAGGCTGGGCCACTTTAATCTCAGATTTGATAGATGTGTGGCATGATCGTGATCGAGAAATAACCAATGGAAAAGTCGCGTCGGACGTGGAGACACGGCCTGTAGATTAATTCCAAATCAACCTACGGACCTTTTTTTCTTTTTTCTTTTTCCTTTTTTTTTTTTTTTTTTTTTTTTTTTTTTTTTTTTTTACATGGGATGATTTTCCATATGCAACTTTTGACCATGTACTCATCTGGTTGTATTCGGTAAAATTATGGGGAAATGGCAATAGTTCTTGCAGCTGACTGATTACCATGTCACACGGTGAAGACGGTCTTTAAAGGAGAGTTTGATGGCATCTCTAGACAAACTATCTGTCCGTAGTTGAACAGACATCATAGGTACTATCTTCTGGTGCGATTTCACTGAGTGCCATTACTTTGGGTTCGCTACAAAAAGGGGAGTGAGTGTAATGAGTAGTGGTTCATTGGAAGGTCGAGGTTTTCTCGGATGAATGACAGATTCTGTGAACTCTTCCATATGCAGACTATTGAAGACTATCTGATTTAGCCTATCGATAGAAAATATGCGGATACCAAAACAATCTCCGGGCCATTATTAGGAAGACCTGTCCAAGCCAGCCCCGCGGAAATGGTTGCACCTGACCTCACAAGAAGGTGAGTGAGAGGCGTTCGAGGCGGTAAGCAGGATGCCGGGGATGAATTGGCGGTGAGAGGGGGGGTGTACAGGATAAGATCTTAAGCAACCATTAGCCACCGCCTTCTGTATGCACTCAGCATATCTAGTCTAGGTATCTACATGAGGTGCGTCATCCCGGGGCCAGGATGGTAGCCAATGTTTTGCTACTACTACAGTACTACTAAGAGTAGTTGCAGGAACAATTGACTCAGTAGTGAGTAGTTGGTTTTCGAGAACCCCTGCAAGATGAGACAAGATGAGATCGGATCGGTTCGATCGTTCGGGGTAGCGCAAGTACCACATAATCTGACAGCACTCGACCCAAACAGAACCCTGGCATGATTTGTTTTACCATTTACTGAACTGATATTTGCTAGGAAACATGGGCGCTAGTGAACCTGAAGTTATTCAGAGAGTTGTCGGACGAGTAAGGGAAATAGCTCGACGTAGGCTACTCCGTATCTCGTGTGCCAGAGCCACAGAGTCAGACATGGTACGAACTTGGAGGGCTTTCTGGTTGCTTCCAGCCCTCAGCGGGTTCTCCCCCGACCGTGCTGCTCATTGGTTACATGTGGGTCGGCCGAAAGCAAACTTAAGTAATCAATGTTTTGTAGGCCCAATTTGGTAATCAGTTTCGGTTCACTGATCCCGCCGTCCACTGTAGAGCCCGGACATCCCGAGGTTTGTCCCCAAAGCAATCTTTATTCAAATTGACCGATCCAAGGGACTTTGTGTATATGATTTACGGAACGGAAAAGGTATGGAAGCCTATAGACGCCACTTAAATGCATCATAGGGGCGTCGAAGTTGTGACTAGCGCAGGATCATCACCAATCGGGGTCATGCCGGTTAAACTATAGAACGCCCTGAATCAACACGTTGGTACGCTACAGAAAGGGCCAAAGAAGCAATGCCCGAGTTTATCTTGCCTAGCCCCTGGCTCCCAACCATTGCCACAACTCCGTGGGCAGTGGTGGCCAAAGGTACCGGCGACTAGATCCCGGGGCGTGGGAGAGCCATGTAATCAAGCGCTATTGCCCCTTCATCGCTTGCGCCTCAATAGTGCAGGCTAAGACTAAGGATCCGTGGATAGCTACTGCTCGGACTGCATTATTGAATTGGTATTTCTCGCCATCATAGCCGCCTTACTGAATGAAGTTTTATTTTTCCTCATAGCAGATACTAGATGCATCGGTCATCTCTCAATGACAAATCATTTATTATAGTAAGAATATATAGTAAATTTTTAGTAGAAAAGAAGAAAAAAAAAACTATCTTTACACTTTAGTCATAACACGGAGGCAGTAGACCCTCTTCAATTTTCAACGACAGACATGAGTGCATGAACATCATATAGGCACATCTGGAGGTAATTGCAATTCCCAAGCAAGCAGCAGGACATTGGTAGGAAACGGGGGGTATAATTGTAAACCAGAGCAAAGACAGCAAGTAGCATAATACCAAAGACAAGCGGCGCGTAAGAAAAATTCAACAAAAGGTTAGGGTGCACACAAGCCAGTTGCACAAGGTTGATGGAACGGAGTAAAGATTAAAGCCACCAAAATATGACGAGGCGGGGTTTGGGGGGAAGTGGGATAAGGAGGGAAAAAGGAAGAAAAAAAAAGGAACTGGAGAAAACAGCAAAAAAAAATCTATCGGAATACCTTTTCCCACAACGTGCAAGGGGTATTAGAAGGTAATTCAAGGGACCAATGGGACCAAACCAAATCAAGTCCGCATGCCCGGAGTTTTCGTGATCATCCAAACCATCCGAAAGGAAAACCTTGACCCTGAAGCAGATCAAACGAGGACCAAAACGAAGCCAACACTAGGTAATGATCAAAAGTGAAAACAGGACTCAAAACGCCTGACACTTCTAGTCCCATGCCGTTCCAACGCCACATAAATGAAGAGGCTAATAAGTTAATGGCTACTCGGGGATGCGGAGTCCAGGGCAGTCTTGGGCTTCAGATTTGAACCCAAGGATGATGCCTTGTTCGCGCCCATCTTCCGAGTTAATTTTGCATAATGCAAGCCGCATGCATTACACAAAGTCCGGGCACCGTCGGGTCCACGGCGCCATTCCGGTGTTTCGGCTCGGTTGCAACTGTGGCAACGACCGGGAGGGGCAGCTTTCTGTACGAGCGCCGCTGTTAGCGATGGCAAAAGTAGAAGTGGGTATGCTTGTGAAGAAATTGGGGGGGGGGGGCGCGAGGGGTAATCCCTTAGTAAACGGGATCAGGGGGCAAGAGGAAAAATAAGAACGGAATGGGAAACAACGGAAAGAGAAATTATCCAGAATAGACGCACCCCTCGTCGTTTTTTGGAATCAGGGCCAGCGAACCCGCCACTGCCCTTGTATTCCTCCTGGTACATTGCCATGTGGTGGACATCGTCATGCACCCCACCGGCTTTGAAAGCCTTTCTTTGAGCCATCTGTTCTGCCAGTGCATGTTCCTGGTTCAAGATCGCTGTCCGTATGCGAATTAGAGCATCCTGATTACGACGCTGTATGTTGAGCATCTCCTCAACTTCATGGATCGAGGGCAGAGAACCCAAGACAGGGCCAGAACGCTGAGTGTGGTGCGCCCTTGCCGCATAGTGCCTGGAAAAATCCAAGGTTCTTGTGCTCATCTCGGCAATCTAGTATTATTAGCGATTTGGCACTTCATATCAAAGGACCAATTGGAGATTCAATTTCGATCCACTTGGTTCCATAGTAGAAAATCACATACCTCATTCAGAGACGTCTCCACATCGTAAATATCCAGGTGACGTTTAACAGAATCGCTTTGTGGTTGCCCCGCAATGGCTGGACGGGTCGCTAGACTCGGTTTTACATCGTCCACACGAGCAGTTTCTGGTACACCAGGTTTCCATGATGTCCCCGCATATGATCGAGCATCATAAGAAGTTGAAGCATACGTTGCTGCATTTGATGGGGGTTGCGGCTGGAATGAGAATGATTGCGAAAACGCACCATAACCATTAGGCGAGGCCACACTGCCGGCAGAAGGAGGCGCGCTGTACTCATAGCCAGAGCCAACTTGGGATCCGGAAATCGAAGTAATACCGGTCTTCGCGCTTTGAGTAGGTGACTTCCCAGAATTTAGTGATTGCAAGGACGCGTTCCTTGAATCCTGGGTGTTAATTGATGTCAAGCTTGACCTTGAGGCTTCCGCTTGCAATTGGTGCTGAAAAGCAGGTTCCCGCATGAAAGGGCCAGTCGCTGCTCCACTTGAAAAGGGATTCGGCGGCCCTGGGGGTCCCTCGGTGGCTGGCCGCCCAACAATGTTAGAAGGTAAGGAATGAGGTGGCGCGTGATGAGCTTGCTGTGGAGGAGCCGGGGTCGGCGCAGGGTATGGTAAATGATTGTCATTTCCTAGAGCCTCATGGATTGATGGAAGCGATTGCCTTTGAGGCTGTTGCTGCTGTTTGTCCTTCTCCTCCTCAAGCGCGCGGCGCGAATCCGGGGGCGATATGTATCCAGCTTGTAGATGACCAGGACCAGTCGAACTAGTGTAGGAAACAGGTAAGGGTTGACCTGTATACATGGTGGTAGGACTCAACAGTGGTGTTGGCGAGGACGTATGTGCTGTTGCTATACCGGGGTGCTTCGGAGCGTAGCTAGGTCCGTCTTTACCAAGATAGCCCAGAGCTGGTAGATGTTCCCTAGAAACCAAACAAGAATCGTTAGCAAATTTGCTGTTGGTGAACCCCCGTTCGACTATTGCGACAAGCTATCATAGGGTAAATATACCTGTGCCTGTGCTCAGCCTCTAACGACCCCATCACGCCAACGGCTTGTTTCGAAGGTTTACAGGGCAAGTACTCCCAATCTCATCCAATGCCTATCGCGACCGTCCAGCGGAAAGATTGGTGTCGGCTGTGCTACCCCGATAAGATGGTGAGATTGTACCGTAATAGCAAGTGTGAGGGCTTTCACAGTGATTGCGACGGAGCTCCCAGAACCTCAAAAGGCGGAAAGATTAAACGTATTCGCTGCGGCGTACTGACTCGCTGACTTCGCGATCGAATATTCACCTCGATTTATTCCCACCAAAGATCTGAGTTTATATAGTATTTCAGCGATCAGAAAATCTTGGAACGTGAATCAGTGGCACGTCTTTCGTCACCCAAGATTGTCTGGGGGTGGTGGCGGTTGTGGGGGTGGAAGCGACGATATCGGGCGAGATTCGAGCGAGAGATTCGGCTGGATCGGCCAAGAGAATAATAAGCGGCGGAAGGCGGCAACACGGTTTCAAAACAATATTTGGTAAGTGCTCCGGGGCTTCTGGTGGCGTAAGAAGGTCAGGTAGTCTGAAGTCGATGCGATCGCGATGGAAAGTGCCCGCAAATGTTGGGGTGAGTTCTTGTAGAGGGCGACCAAGAGAGTACGGCACGCACCCGCAACGCGCAGCGAACAGGTCAAATCGGAACGGCCCTTCCAGCTCTTCGAATAACCATCTGTCCCAGGCCAAACCTTGCACAGGAAGTCCAAACAGCTGGATTAGCAGTCGGTATTTCGTGCTGAGTTCCCTCAAAAGATAGATTTGACAATGTTTGAGTTCGCGGGAGCGGCGGAGGCGCAGTGAACGCAAGGGATAGTGAAGATGAATGCGTCGCGTGGGAAGGGAGACGTTGGTTGGTTCTTCCTTTCCGTCTCTCTAGAGCCTTTTTCTTTTCCTCTTTTCTTCCTTAGCGACCTCAACGAAGAGCGCCCAAAAATACAAATGCAAGATCGGAAGGATTGAAAAACAGTAACAGGCGAATAATAATGACAACAGACCACAAATGGAGGGGAGGGAAGGGATGGGGAGAATAGAGTACGGAGGGAAAGAAAGAAAATGCAAGGACTCAAGATGTCGGGAGTAAGTAGTTGGATGGGTGTGGTAGGAAGAGATGGTTGTAAATGGTAGGGTAGGTTATGAAGGAACACGATCTCCTCCAGACAATCAAGAGGGAAAGGAAAGTTTGGGGGGGGTGGGAGATGGCAGTGAAATGTCAAGGGGGGGGAAGAAAAAAGTGGGTTCGGGAAAAGGAAAAAGACAATGGGATCGAAGATGTCTCGGGCAGGGGAAGGAGAGAATCTTTCTTTCTTTCCTTTTGATTGGAATGCAAGAATTCAGAGGGGAAGAAGATGCAGAGGAAAAGGGCAGGTAAATACCTTAGGTAGTAGGAGTGGTGGTGGGTAGTTGGTTGAGCCAGCAGGGTGGGCGGGACCATAAGAGGAAGAACAACAATGGGAAGAAGGAGCAGCGGCGGCCAGCAGAAGATTATAATAGTTATAATGCGTACAAATATAAAAGACAATTATAATTATACTTAGCCCACTTAGGTCCAACACTCAGGCCCGCACACACGCGAGATATGGGAGGATCCAAACAGGAGCTACTAAAACTACGTCGGCCTAGGACAGATGAGCTCAGACCTGGAAAATTAGAGAGACAGGCAGGCGGAGGAGCCAGAACGGACTATGAGATCGTCGAATCATACCGGAGGTTGTGACCACTTTAAAGTTACGGCGAATTACAGAAGCTTTACGGCTGCGAACTGCGGATCTTCGACGAAGTGTGGAGTGGGTTGGGATCATATTGGCGATGTGCGGATATCTGGGTGGGGAGCGATGGAGCCTTACCAGGGGGGTGTCCCTGGCCCCGAGAATTTCTTTTTTTCCTTTTTCCCTTTTGGCTGAAGGAGGAGGAAAAGTATAAATTTAATATAAAAACAGAAAAATAAAACCGCGTCAAATTACATAACCGCCCTCTCAATACAAGTTTCCACTTTTTCCTTACCGCGTATGTACCTATACACTTATTACCAAAATTTCATACATGTTACGTATTTCAAACTAACTTACTGCACACGAACTGCCGCTGCTCCCACAACTCACATTCTCTATTCCGACTTCCACAGGCGAGGTATTCTCTCCCTTGCCATCTCTGTCGCTTTAGGCTTAAAACAGGCCTTTACCACCGCGGAGATAAACCATAAGAATGGGAATGAAGGAATTTTTTTTAATGTGGCAGCTTTATTGTTACGACCAGATTAATTACTGGCTAGAATTTCCGAAACTTCCTTAGGCGAGAAAATCTTCTTGAAGGCTGAATTGGAATTAAACCCAACGATGAGGTTGCATTGGAAAGAAGCCGGTATACAACAACGTGCTGAAACGGCAGAATCAGTCCTCTTCTAGAGGTATACCAACATGACTCCTGCGAAGGATAATTCCTACCCTCATCGAGTCAATGTGGTGCTAGTCCAAATTAGGAGACATCGATGCGTATCCAATGAAGTGGATCGCACACGATACTAAGAACTGCCAACAGACTGGAATTTTTTGTTCGCTAGAAAATGAGATTAGAGGGAGATTGGAGGAAGAGAGGGGATATAGTATGTTACCTTTAAAAGAACCATATCGGGAATGAATTGACCTCGGAGTCTAGCAAGCCTGTCACATTAACTAGCAAAAACAGTGGCTAGATACTAATGAGTGAATTGATCCCGATAACTAAAGCAGTTTTATCAACATTCAGGCAGTTTTATGGGCTGAGGGAATAAGTTCCAGATGAAACTTGACTTTGCTACTGACGAAGACACCACCCATTCTTTGTTCATATGTGAACGCGCTTGTCTCTGGATGATACACCACCATCTTCCCCTTCTACGATGAAACCATCCCTCGCGACTATAGTTTTGACCTTTTAGCTTTTCCTTAAGGTTTCGATGGATTTGGTGTGCTAAGCATTTCGCTGACAACATCAGAGATCTCAAGTATACCCTCACGAATAGTTGATCGGCACTCCGCAGACACGCAGATATGCAAATATCGCAACAGGCGGGCAATACTCACTCGGTATTGTATTTTCTATTGCTGAACATGGAAATAATTCCAAATTGGACTTTATGGGAATATCAAACGGAGATGGTGGTTTCATAAGCATTGATCATATGCTGACGAGAAGGTCAAGTTCAATACACCTAATTTCTTCGCTAAATTTTGGGATGATTGACCCTTTCTTTTCTTTTCTTATTTTTTTTTTCTTTTTTTCCCTCAACCCTCACCAAATTGCGATCCATGGCGAACCGCCAAGTAAGGCTCCCCGCATTAGCATTGTCCCAAGTTTACGATCGTTGATAAGATCTAATTCGATCCCAAAATATAAGGCTGGGCTGCGGTGACCATTTTCTTTAGTCTAACGGGTCATGGTTTCCCATGTATGCTGGCAATGCTTAAGAGACAGGTCACCTCACTACTTTCCATCATCTGTCTTCGTTAGAAAATTTAGGACACAGTTCCTACCTGATCACAGATGAGCCTTTTACGATGAAAGATGAAGTGTGGTGATTCCTGTTGTTGTGTTACGATCCGCCCTTAAGCAGCTGTAGGATATCATAGACCGTGACTACTAGTAGCTATGCTTGTGTTTCAGAAAGGATTAACCATATGTTTACTACTGCTTTATTGGGAAGAGATCTGAAAGTAACCACAGTGAGGAAACGGAGTCGCATAACAGCAAAATCGATGTACACACTCACCATTAATCTATATCTGTCCATCTCCGGCTGCAGCTAGCCCAAAAGAAAATGCACCGTTGGATCGCAACTGGCGGAGATCTGTCCATTCACATTGCAGGGCAGCACAACCGCCCAAAACTTAGCTGCAGCCGTGGCTAGATTTTCCTGCCGCAGGGAATCAACAACTGCTACCCCTGACCCTCCATCCCCTACGCTCGTGATATGGGATAATTCCCCGCGCGTAGATTACAGAATTTGTAGGGAAAGTTGTGATCAATCAAAAAAGCTGGCGCACATAGCTATAGGACTGGAGGATCGAATAACAAACGCAATGGCAGAATGAATGAAGGAAAACAGGAAGTTCAGACTCTTGAGGAAAGGCTGGTAAGCAGCATATCGGTATTTTACCCGTGCCTGCGTTGCTTGTTCCATGGTACGGTACGACGCTCCCCGCTTTCCCTTGCTCGAGATCTCGGGCGTAGCCGTTCGTGGGTGGCACCATTGTCATCATCCCTTTTTCCCCCCCTCCTCCTAACCTTCTGGGAATATCTGATTCTCTAATCCTTCTCTGCACTTCCTCATCTCACCGACATAAGTATACAGACCACTAATATCTTTTGTGTTCTTTTTTTTATTCTTTTCTTTCGTTTTTTACTCTTTGGTTCAGCCATCGCCTTCCGTGATGGTCGGGACCCCGGCGAGCGCATTTACCATGAACTTACCTCGCGCTCCTGCATCTTGGTCTTACTTTCCTGATCAATAATGGGTCTAAAGTCAGACTAGTGTGAGAATGTTAGTAATAGCAGTAAACTATTGAATATGGTGGAACCGGAGAGCATCCTTTAGTGCGTCAGTGGTTGGGGTAAATCTGTACAACGGTGTGCTGGAACTTGGAAAAGAGCCAAGCCGACACTTGGCCTTCGAAGTTACTTACTCCATGGAGCATCGATGCACATAACTTTCCGATCGATCGATCGGTGATAGGTAGCTGCAACAAGCGTGCTCACTTAGTCGGGAAGGATAGGCACTAGCAAATATTTAGGCCACACCATTAGAAATGAAATACAGTGCACTACATATTCTGTGCTGTTATCAGTGGCCCTCCCAGGATCGGACTATTTCCCCGAAAGGATATCGTGCCGTATGCGCGGTCGTATCATACACAGCAGACCTCCCCCACCGGAGTAAGTAGTAGTAGGACGTTCCCTCGGCGCGAAAGACCCAAACAGAAGGAAGGGCTAATAAAATCTCTGTTGACTAGTATGTCAGTGGCTTTTTATATTCCACTATAAAACTGTTTCAAAGACATGGTTATACCCTTTACTTAACCAAAGGGATGGCAGAGGCAGTATTTTATCGTTGTTACTTGTTCAACCGTGGCATGCACGTTGCAGGTCTTTGGGGGACGATCCATCTCCGAGCCGAGATCTAGGCCACATGATTGGCGATGGCCAACGAACGGGCGCGTTATTTATCGTATAGGCCTCAGATCGACGCCAATCCCCAGTATCATCTAGTGTAACGGATGTCCATGCATGAGTCTGCTGGTCAAGATATTGACGTAACCAGTCAATTTATGGTGGCCCCAACTTCTGAATCGTAGATTTGCGCATCTATAGATTAATTAATTAAGCCCGCGATTATAGGCGGTCGTTATTGTTTGGTTTTTTTTTTTTTTTTTTTTATCGATTTTTTTTCTTCTTAATTTCATTTATCTACTTTCCTCTTCTTTAGGGACGTATTATGTTTTTGAAGCCTCGCCTAATGTATGCGAGATGATATCCTCTTGCTCATGACTCTTCTCACTTTTCTCGGAGGGGGTCATTGTACCAAATGGAACGTCCAGGAAGGATATTGGAACAGTGGATCTTGAATGCATACGATACGGGCTTACTGCAGAGAACAAGCTTTGGCTCAGACTGATCTTGACTTTGAATCTCGCTCCTTACAGGTGTGTTATTATCAGGATACGGTGTAACAGTGAGAACAACCACTGTGCTCTGACAATATTATGAGGTGCTTCATATGACGGGGTCATTTCTGCGGTTACATCTCACTCAGAACCATGATTTGGGTTGAGTGATGTAATCCTTCGTTCCAACGGCTCTGAGATCGAAGAAGTATGCCGACTATGAACTTAATAAGACTTCTGCCCCTCGAATTTATCGGAATCCAAGAGATAGCATTTCGTGAATATCATTTGTTACAAAATTTTTGTGTTGATTTTTCTTTTCTTCCCTCCCTCCTTTATTGTAGGGTGTGTAATCCCCTAGTAATGCATGTCGCATACGTATCGTAGACAGTTGGATGAGAAAGTGGGCAACCGATATGCAGCTACGAGTCAGACAACGACCAAAAATATTGATATGAACTGTGGAAAACCCCCCTTAACTCACACTACCATCCTTATCCCATGACGCTTCAGACCCATGTTTACCACCGGTACTCCGTGGAGAGATCTGACTCAAAGAGGATCATAGCCCCTCAATCTAAATTGAAGAGTACTCAGCAATACCAACTACCAGTACAATAGGTTCGTTCTAGTGGCTTGCTTGCTAGTGCAACTTTTGGCATGCCCCAAGCGAACCCAGACATGGCTACTGGAAACTATTGCCGGTCCATTGCCATTGCCGTGGAGCTGCTCGATCTTGCGACCGGCCCCGGGTACGTAATATTTAGCACCGTTGAACTTGGCTTTCCCACTCTAGCTTTGAGGAAGGGAACAGTCTTCTGCGAACTGCACTGCATGGCGAGGCTAGGGGGAAGCTGAGCTGACTTCCAGCAGATGGCGCTAAAAATGTTCCTTGAGGGATCAACTGAAAGTGACCGATCTTTACCCGAATTAGCAAGGCTACGGTAATCACTTCCGCCAGGTCCAGCGCATGGTGTCGGAGATCCCTGGAAGGAAAGGATTGGACGGTTTTCTCTGATGACTATCCTGTTCCATCGATCGTTTTACATGTGATGTTGGGAGGGGACCCAAGGCCATGACCTCATCCTACAGACTAAATTCTCCTCGTCAATAATTCATCCCCATGGAGGGGTTCCCCTCGCGAGATATACTTTCCGCATTAGTTCTGTCCGGATGCAACAAACCAGGAACACCAAAGCTATGACGACAGGCCTCTCTGTTCATTTGGTACTTTTGGTCGTATCTACCGGTGCACAGACTGAGTGGCGGCAGCGAAAATAGATCTGCCAGCGGTCGCCCCCAATAATGACCAACTTAATCAGGCGGACATGGTTGACTGATTGCAGCTCCTGCCCGGCTATTGTGTGAGCCACATTGATTTTTTTAGGTGTACGAGCTTTTATGCAACATAAAATCACTTGGGAGCGCAGTGGTGTCTGGTTTAGATCTCTGAATACTACGAGAGAATGCTGTGGCCGGAGCGCTCGCTAAATCCCAAAGCGGATTAGCATCCTCGGGAAATCTTTGCATGGCGCGATGTCCCAAGCTTTTGACCGGCTCTTATTGGGTGAGGCGGACGCACTGGCCAGCATCTCCATACAGAGTACTTACTGGGTACTGGCAATACCATCACATTGACCGGCTTGACAAAAGTGACAGTCTACGTATTCTACCGCTGAGACACATCGTCCAACCCCTCTTCACCAACTATCCATGAAGTTGTTTTAGCCCCTCTTACAATGGCCCCCCCAGATGTGTCGCTCGCTCTGTATAACGGATCCTCCGCACCAAAGGGCAATAACAATCTTAAATTCCAGGCACTGTGACTGTATCGCGATTGGAAGGCTGGGAGGCAGTGACTCATGCACCGGGTGATAAACCCAGCATCCGGAGCTTAGGCTTTGCCGCAGCCCCAGGAAGCCTCTTAACGTTGACGGGTCTAACCTAACAACAGGAAAGCCATCAGACCAAGGCGGTCCAAAGGCGACCAGTTGCTTTTAGCGTACATCAGTTTAAGTATTTCTCGGGCATCAGCCGGCACTAAAAAGTTACAGCAAGGGCCCGCGAATTCGATCTATCCCAAGCCTGAAACGCGTGGGAGACATGTCACGCGCTTGCATGGCCTCTGAAATAGCTAGATATCATACAAGAAGCGTCTTGTGAAGGACAATGATCACTACTGTGGGAAAGAATTATCCGGCGCGCGTTATTCCGGCTATTGATCACTAAGAAAATGGTTGGTCATCCATCGTTCGCCAATGCTTCAGCCGTGAACCTATGTCTTCCCTGGGAACGGAGACACTCAATCTACATACTAATACCGTCACTAGTGGTGTACTCACTCTTCTGACCCACTAGAGCTATCCTGCTTCTACTAATCAACCATCATATTGTACAGGGGGGTCCGAAAAAGTGCTTTACGTCTCTTTCAAAGTACATGTTATACTGGCCCCTTGGGGGCTATCTAGGTGGGACTTCACTTACGAATTCATAAGAGTACCGCCGAGTGACTATTTCACACGACGCCACAGAGGCCTGGTAAAGGGCCATGGCACCAGTACTCTGCTGACTGTTATGGTTGTTCTCTATATTCGATGACCACGTTCAATAACGGAGTCGGAAATACGACAACTATGGGGCTAGATGGACAATGTGGGGTGTTGTACACAGCCCCAGCCAGCAAACAGGCTTTCAGACTTGAAAGCGTAAGGATTATTTTCAGAGCACACCGTTGGTATCGGAAGAGTTCTATCAAAAAGACATATGGCTGCCAAAACAGCTCTACTGTGTCACAATGGGGTTGGAGAATGGTGGGCCGAAAAGCGGATAATGGGATCGACAGCGCCAAAAGAGATGGTTCAAGGGCCGTTGCGACCGTTGGCTCGCCGTCGCACCTCGCTAACGTTTTCGCTGACTACGCTCTATCAATATTAGGATAAGTACAGCTGATGGATACCGGCAATGGGGGATGGGGTGGGACCGGGTCCTACGATCGCTCAAGGATGGTCAAAAAATCATCATACAGTCCAGAGAGGAAAGTGAGCGACAGCGCTTCGACCATTATGGCAAGAGCCCAGGATGCGAGCGATCGCATCCTCCTCAACAGTTACCTGCTCATTGGTGCAGACATCGTGTCATGAGTCCATTCGAATTTTGATACTCCTCTCACTATTGCCTGCCACCCCTTTCGCCATCTGGGGCTGGTTACTGACGCTCCAACAGCCATTACAGCGCCAAATACGTCTGTATTAGTGAGGGGAATCCTCTTGATACTTTCTACACTGACTCGTAATTCTTGGTGTCTGACCGACGAGTCATCAGTCAAGGATTTGCAGCTGTTTTTACGACCAGATACCTCGGTATAGTGTGTAGACGCCTCTCCGGGTCATGCCAAAGGTACTAATGCGCCCAGTATCTCGATCTGCTAGCTACGAGCTATTTCTGCACAGTCCTTTGGTTTGACCTGGCCCTTGTTGTTTTGCATAAGACGGGCCGATTGATCATGGGCCAAAAGGCTGGCTCAGCTCTATGGGCCGGAGAAAAAGCAGAAGGGGGGGGGGGGGTAGGGAGAGCTCCAGTGTCAAAACGGTAGTGGATCC